CCGCGCGTGAATACAAAAAAGTACGAAGTGGGGGAGAGGAAGAGTAAAATTGTTACTTGAAATTTAAAAGCGGAAGAGATTTTCTATACTGGCTTTGCAAAGTTCAGAAACTTCATGAAAGGATGATCAAATCACAATTTTGGTGGTGGACCAAAGTTCGCTTTTTCTCCGTCCTAATTGAAATATTCTTGAATAGCACTTTATAGTTTGTGCTTTCATCTGGCATATCGCTATTTTTTGTCCATTTATTTTCTTTAGTTTTCTTTATTAGAGCTCGTGTTCTCTGTGCCATGTTGCTTTAATTTGTGACGCAGTTTGCGTCATAAAAGATAAAACACTCGGAACTGGTAGAAAGCAAACACAATATGGCAGTCTTTTTTATTTACATCGTAAAATGGATGGAATGAACTTCCTATTCTGATACCACAACAGGAGCAAAAATGACACTTTAGACATCTCGTACCTTCCAGTTTATGTGTGGCTGTTAAAAAGATATATAAATGAACTAAATTTTGTTACAAGTACTAATGAAGACATTTTAATAACTGTGACTTGTCAAAAAAAAAACAATCATTTATGAACTACATTTTTCTGAAGCTACCTATGAAGACATATAAAGTTTTTAAAGAGATTATTTTACAGTTGAGGTGTCCTGGCTCCCAAGATATTTGAAATTAAATTTTCTCTAAAACTAGGAATAAGTTTCAATAAAATATTATTGTTCCCGCCTCGGTGCTGGTGAGAGTAATGCATATTTACCTTGTCTTTTACCATTTTGGTAGATATCTACCATTTTTGATGAAAGTACATAAACAAAGACAGTGACAAGACATTGGTTAATGTGACTGTTTGGCAATGGTTCTGCTATATATCTAGCATACATTAGTATGCTATAGGAAAATGTTATGGACAGTTTTTACAGAATGGAAAAAATGTTATTAGTTTCAAACTCTGGAGAAGGGTTTTGGGTATTGTTTGAAAAGCTTAAATGAAAGCTATTACAAATACTGCAGAGTTGTCTCAGCAGAAAAATTTAGCGACAGAAGGTGTATCTAATAAGAATTTTTTGTATCATAAACTTACTTTATGAACCAATCAGTTGCAAGGCTTCCCGTCCCTTGAGTCTGTGACTATTGTTAACAATGTTACTTACCAAATTTAATTTGGGAGTTCTCTTTTCCATGCTTGTTTGTCAACTCCAAAATTAATTTTTAATTTACATCTTGAAAGCCTGTGTAGTTAGAAAAGGTTACTCAGTTTAGCTCGTGAAGCATACTCTGCTGGAAACATGGAATCAAGTGTTTTGCAAATAGCATGTGTGTTTGTTTGTGACTGATATTATCGTAAGGGAGAATAATAAACTTTCAGGGTAATTTAACACCTTTTTCGTCGCTGATCATTTTAGCAACTTTGGATCCAAATCTAGTCACCCATACCAGAATTAGTTGCCATGGTGATTTAAATAGTCTAACCATGTAACTCAGTTTCCGATCTCACTCTTCCTTATTGTTATGTAGAAGATGATGTTGAAAGAATCCATAATTTCTTCTTAATCATGTCCTTGATAAGAAGCTAACCAATTAGCAACAATACAACCCCTTTAAAGACATTAATGTTATCTTTATCTGCCAGTAACTCAAAGAACGTTTTTTTGTCGCAGTATTGATGTATGAGATAATCAGCTGTAGAGAATAAATTTGTTTACACAACTGAGCCCCTAATTTCGTTTTAAGTATCACTGTAGTTTCAGTTGAAGGGAAATGTCTAATTCTGCTTTCATGGTCCATAGATTTGTATCTGCAAATTTTATAAATTTCTTTAAATTATAGATGACTTCAACTAGAACCAACAATTTGGATCTCACATCCTTTACCTCTTCCCAATATAGCAATGAGGCTCAAGGTGATGAGGATTCGGTTACATGTTCTTGTGATTCTTTTTAGTATTATTGAATTTTTTTTCTTATGGTCCTTTTCAATTTCTCATATGAAAATATGAGAGGTTTTAAAACATAGAGGGAGACAAGGGTATCCTGCTTTCTGGTGAAATTAATTGTTGCAGTATAGTTTAAATGGGAGTCTAATCCTCATTAATAATGGTAATTGACTGTCAAGATTTTACAGGTTCTCAACCTCTCTGAAGTTCAATTTCTTACAGCAACTATTCTCTATATTTCACAGGTATTTATGACCATTTGAGAAAGAGGTGATGGAAAAATATCAACCATGGAAGGCAAATAAATAGGGGTTTATCCTTTTACTGTTCCCCACCACACTTACCTCTTTTATGGATCTCAAGCTGTGTACGAGAGATGAGTGACTAATAGCCAACCGCAATGGCGTCAGTTGTGATCTGGGATGCTTAGACCTGGTTCGCCAAAAGGAATAGAGAAGAGCGTGGAAACTGTTTTGGAAAGTGGACTGTCTTGCTGTGCTGAACAGATCTTGAACTGTGCACAAGGGATGGGTGACCAATAGCTGACCTGTGATGGCGTCGGCTTCACCCTCAAAGTCTCTTCCACAGTTGTGATCACCGAAAAAAAAAAAAAAAAAAAAAAGAAGGAGAGAGAAGAGCGTGAAAACTGTTTTGGAAACTGGACTGTCTTGCTGTGATGAACAGATCTTGAACTATGCAAAAGAGATGGGTGACTGATAGCTGACCCGTGATGGCGTCAGCTTCACCCTTAAAGTCTCTTCCACAGTTGTGATCTAGTATGCGAAGACTTGGTCCACCAAAAAACAAAGAGAAGAGTGTGAAAACTGTTTTGGAAACTGGACTGTCTTGCTGTGATGAACAGATCTTGAACTGTGCAAAAGAGATGGGTGACTGATAGCTGACCCGTGATGGTGTCGGCTTCACCCTTAAAATCTCTTCCACAGTTGTGATCTGGAATGCCAAGACTTGGTCCACTAAAAAAACAAAGAGAAGAGTGTGAATTGAAAAGTGTTTGGAAACTGGACTGTCTTGAACTGTGTACAAGAGAAGGTGTGACTAACAGCAGACCTGCAATGGTGTCAGCTTCACCCTTAAAATCTCTTGCACAGTTGTAATCTGTGATGCTAAGACTTAGTTCATTCAAAACAAAGAGGAGAATGTGAAAACTGTTTTGGAAACTGGACTGTCTTGCTGCGCTGAGCGCATCTTAAACTGTGTATAAGAGATGGTGTGATTAACAGCTGACCTGCAATGGAATTGGCCTCACCTATCAAGTCCCTTCCTTAGTCTTGCTTTGAGATGCTCACCTTGTCCACCGAAGAAAAAAAAAGAGAAGGGAAAGAAAACTGTTTCAGAAACTGAACTGTCTTGCTGTGCTGAACGGATCTTGAACTGTGTACAAGAGATGGGTTATTGATTGCTGAACTATTCAAAGTGAGATGTCTGGATACCTCCATCTCGTCGCTAATTCAACCACAGGTTGTTAGACTGGAGTGGTTGGCATACTTCATGTGGGAGAGATGAATTATTGATTGCTGAACTCTTCAAAGTGAGATTTCTGGATAGCTCCATCTCATCGCTAATTCAAACCAGAGGTCGTTAGACTAAAATGGTTGGTATACTTCCATGTGGGAGGACAGTGTGGGGGTAGGTGAGAGTGCGCTTTGAATTTTCTGTTTTCCACTCTGTTTTTCACTGCAGCACCCTGGGGTGCCCATGACACCCCACATTTTCTTGTCACACATTTTCTTGCCATTGGGGCACAATTGAAATCCTGTTCTCTCTGTTCAAAGTAACTCATGGTATGTTTTGGAGATGAGGATCTTTCCGAATAAACACGGCATGGAGGTCGACTTGACAATCTGGTGAGTTTCATTTGTTTGACAAAGTGTGACCCCCCCTCCCCCCTCCCTTTGAAAAGTCTTAGCTACGTTCTTGCATTCCTGCCACATGTTGTGTATTCGTGCCTTTGTAAAGGTAGTGAGAAAGGACCATCTCAAGTCAAAGAGTCTTTTAGACAGTTTTCCTGTCTCTTTATAAAAGTTTCTTACTTTGTGCCAACATCTGATAGGCATGGAATTATGGCTACGCAAGACAAATATCAACCTAGGATGGAAAGTGAAAGTTGAAGGTCTTTCCGTCCTCAGTCACACGCGCGACTTATAGAAAGTTTTTTTTAAGTCTTTGTAAAAGTTTTCTACCTTGTGGTTTCAATATCGCATAATACGCATGTGTTTTAAGACAGAGGTTTGGTTGCACAAAACAAAACAAATATCAACCCTAGAAAGAAAGCAAAAATTGGTAATGATACTTAATATTCTGGTGAGTATAACTTATGTGGAAAGTTGAACCGAACGTTATAGTTCTCATATGAAGCCCTCTCTAAAACTATAAAAATTAAGTTCATCGTTTATTTCTTTTTATTTCGCAGGTATCTCTGCCTCCTTCACGAAAGAATGCCGGAAAAAATGCACCCTTGAAAATAAGTGCAAACTGGTAGTCTAAAAAAGACGCCAACTTCTTCCTAGTGGTGCACTTAACGTAAAGTACGGTGTGCGTCCATGCTGTATTTTAAAGGAAAAGTCTTTTGGGTGACATCTCATCCAATTGTCTGAGGGGAAATGTTAACCTTGGAAGGAACGAAAAATAGGGGGTCGATCCGCCACCGTCCCCCACCACACCCACCTCTAATAGACAGTTGTTTTGTAATTTGAGAGTAGTTTAACATTGTGGTACGACATATTGTGATAAGCATGCGTCTTACAACATAAATGTGTCTTAAAAGACGTAGTTACCACAAGGATGAACTTGTCTTTAATTACAAAATAACTGTCTAGGAGAGGTAGGTTTGGTGGGGGACGGTGTCGGATCGACCCCCGATTCTTCGTTCCTTCCAAGGTTGACTCTCCTAAGACGCTTGGTTGAAATGGTCATTTCTTATGAAAAGTAATAGGATACCCATTAGCGTTATTTTAGTGCACCACAACGACGAAGTTGGAGGAGGTTTTTAAATTCCCAATTTACACTTCTTTTCCATAGTATCTTGTTGTCTATCTGAAAAAATAAACATCTCTCATATTAATCCTTTATTCTGTAATATTGCATCCACAATAAATTAGAATTTTCAAATCAAAACCAGTTTCAGTTTACAGTAAGAGCACTACACGAGACAATTCGGAATGATAGCAAATTTCTCCCTCCTTTTCATTGACCTTTCTTGGACCTTCCGTTGTCTTTCGTCCTTCTCTCACATCCTGAAGTTAACACAGATGATATTAATCGCTTTGTCAACAATACTTAACATAGAATAAATCATCTGTTAGCAACTACAAAACAATTTCAAGTCTACGGTAAGTGTTCTCTATACCTTCAAAAAGCTAAAAAAAACCAGCTAACTCTAAAGACAGCAAGAATTACTGAAAAAATTCAATACTTCTGGTACTAGTTTAGGGTACTTTACTCGAGACGAAACATAAAAAAAAGCAACTTTCGACGAAGTTACAAAGATCTTTAATCAAGCAGTTCAATAATAACATACTTATCGCACTCACTATAATATTAAGTATTTTCTTCTTTTACCGTCTTCTTAAACTGCAACTTTGCAAAGGTTGATACTGGTACAGAATAACAAATTTCAGCTCAAAGGTTTATACAATAAAACATCACTAGTACTCACCGGATCCTAGGAGTATTCTCTTCCTCCAAAACCACTCGTGTCAATTTTTTAAATATTTGCGTTTCCTAAAAGGCGAAAAGTTACAGAAATAGTGAATGGAAAATAAAAGGTCCTAGTTGAAATAATTCATTCTAAGACGACACTGAAATTATTTGCGGGTAGGACAATAAATTTTTCACAAAACTACACTCTTTAGTTCGGGAAGGTAGACATTAACACTATAATTAGACTCACGGAAAAGTTGAGTCTCCTCTTATTCCTTGACCGTCTTTTTCAATGTAAAAGTTGCGATAACTGAAAGGGGGAAGGATGCGGCAAAAAAAAAACAACAACAACAACCACGGCAATTCAATTATACTTGGAAATAGTTTGCAGTTATGCGAAAATGATTCAATTTAAAGATGCAAATTCACTGAATTCCAAAATAAAAGCTAGCCACACGATCATGCTTTCCACATATATCGTATTTTCGTCTTCACTGAGTTTCTTTCAAAGTTGTAATGCTCTCAGTCTTTGAAAGTGGAAAAAGTAAGTAAGAAAAAAGTAAGAAAATTTCGATACATCTGTTTACAGTCAAAAACAATTTACTGAAAACAATACTTGAAATATTTGTTCTACAAATTTGAGCTCCGTTTAAAAATAATTACATAAGGTTCCTTTTCAACCATACTCACAAAGGTTTGAAGCATTTCATGTTCCTTGACCTCCTCCTTAGAATGGTTTTCTTTCAAGCATCTGAAAGGAAGAATTCAAGAACAATTAATGCGAAAACAAAATTAATTGTGGGAATGATCATCAGTTAACACCTGGGAGAGGAAGGGGGAGTCAGGGGGGGCAGGGGGTTATAGATGTGTCACAACAACGTTTATCTGATTCCCTCATGAGACTCTTTAGTATCCTAATGAGGCCCCACTATATTCCCCCATTTAAAAAATGCTTGAGAAAGGGGAAAGGATGATTAAAACCAAGTGATCCCCAAAATCTTCCAAACCCCCCCCTCCCCTGATAGTCGAGCCCTGGTGATCAATTATTTGTTTGAAAATGAGTTTAATTTGCATGTGAATGAAAACTTGTGATCATATGAAAGGATCAACACCAAGACTCGTTTTCAAAAAGAAGTCAAAGGTGTTTCAGAAGTGGGCTACTTCTTTAATTATTTGTTCGACTGTCATGTAGGGAGTTGTAACATCTTTATAACATACTTTTAGCGGATGGAAGTCAAAGCAAGATACACATTTTAATAAAATAGTGCTACAACTCCATCATATTCTACAAAAATTTGCCTCTTTCTCCTTGGTTGACTTGTTATGTCACGAGAATCTCTGATTTCGATAAAACTTAATTTAGATCCAAACAATAAAAGATTATAAACTTTTTATATTTTCTCGTTCTAATACAAGCAACATGGCTATTTGTTTGCTACATCATATAATTTTGAACAAGGTTTCTTTTTCCTGGCTACCAAAATTTTTATCCAGCAATCATATTGAGATTTTAAGTCACCAGAGGCTGACTTTGAGATAAACTTATGCCCTTAATGACATATTTTCCAAAATCAGAACCTTTGTTATCACAATCAGGCATGCTAGAAAAGGAAATGTGTCAGTAAGTCAGTCAGTCAGTCAGTCGGTCAGTAGGTTGGTCAGTCAGTCTGTTGGTCGGTCAGTCAGTCAGTCTGTCTGTCGGTCGGTCAGTCAGTCAGTCAGTAGGTTTATCAGTCAGTCTGTCAGTCAGTCAGTAGGTTAATCAGTCAGTCTGTCAGTCAGTCAGTCAGTCAGTAGGTTAATCAGTCAGTCAGTCAGTCAATCAGTCAGTGAGTTCAACAGTCAGTCAGTAAGTCAGTTAGTCAATCAGTAGGCAGTCAGTCAGTAAGTCAGTCGAGAGTAAATGTGGTTAGTGTCAGCTTTTACTTGGGGCAGAAGAGCACAGAACACGTCATCACAATGGAATGTGCTACACATAAAATTAATCACATTAGAGTTACCATGAAACGTGAAAATGTGTGATGTGTAATTAGCTTACTTGCACTTATCTTAACCTGGTAGTGTGTAAGTGTGGAGGTGTGAAAGTCAGTCAGTCAGTCAATCAGTTAATCGGCCAATCAGTTTGCTGGCCAGTCAGTTAATCAGTTGGTCAGTCAAATCATCAGTCTATCAGTCAGTCAGTTATCAGTGAGGGAGTCAGGTATTCAAACTGTCAGTCTGTCTATCTATCAGTCAGGTTATTGGTTGGTCAGTCAATCAACCTGGCAGTCAATAGCTTGGTCCACTTGTAAGTGAACCTGACAGCCAGGCAATCATTCAGCTAAATAACAGTAAGTCAGTCCATCAGGTCCATCAATCAGTCACTCAGTATGTCAGCCAGTAAGGAGTTAGGCAATGAGTCAAGCAGTCAATCAGGTAGTCAGCTACTTAGTCTGTTAGTTAGGCAGTCAGTCATGTAGTAAGTCAGTGAGTCACTTAATGAGTAAATCAGTCAGCCAGTAAATCACTCAGTCAGCCTGTACAGTGTAAGTGCTTCAGGCAGTGTTAAGCCATATGAAAGTCAGTCAGTTAGTTCAAAGTTCAGTGAGTCACCTACTCAATGAGCCAGTCAAAGGGGTGGTAAATTAGTCTGTCCATGAGCTAGTCTCTAGCAGTTAGAAAATTGAGTCGATCAATCATCTATTCTGATGAAAAAATACAGCCATGCCAGTGAAACTGTTAGTCTGTGTCAGGCTAGCACTATGTTTGCCACTATTTCAATGCCACTGCTCCTGTCTGTTCCTGAAGGGAACTGTTGCCTGAAAAAACTTATTTTGCTGGAAAATGCATTTCATGGCTGTTTGAGACAGTTGTACCAATGACACATATTCCTATAAGCAGTGCCTGTTTGTCAGTATCCAACACTCATTTAGAAGTAGCACTTAAATAAAAATGGTAGTCATAGGAGGAACATGTATTACTGTATCTATCTCAAGCCCTAGATTACGTGACCTGATTCTAATTTTAAATTCCTTCCCCCTCATATGATTTTTGAGGAATTTGCTAACTCTTGCTTAAATTCAATGTTCTAAGTACCACTACATTTACACCACATGTATACCCTACCCTACATTTAAGTCCTGTTTAAGTCTTTTAGGAGTCAAAAGTTTAGGAGATAAAAAAATTTGTACAATGGATTTTTTTATGCTTGTTAAAATTTGGAATTCATCTTTGTATGGGTTATCTATGTCTGAATTACTGTAATAATATAAAAACACAGCAAGTCAGTTTCATAATTTTTCATTGAAACTTAACCAATGTGCTTGCTGATTTAAAAACACAATTACATCAGAAACACTTTCAAGATTTCTATCTCAGCAAAAAGTTACATTGTATGTTTGAGGCAAGTGTATCAGTTAACAAACTGACCTGTAAGTTTCTATCCCATTCATTTTCTTCATTTATCTTCTTGTCTTACAGTGTATCAATCGGAGTGTGTTAGTTTGTAGTCTTGTTGGAGTCCAAAAGCCACACCTCTCCAATCTGACAGATGTCAACCACAATTACCCAGGTACTATCATCTAGATTAATTTGGCCATACTTGAGCTGTGTGGGTTAAAAGAACAAAAAAACTGCAACATTCATCCATTTAGAAATTGTCAGAAACACAAATAACATGCTACTCCTCTGAGGAAGTGCAGTTCAAATACAAGACTGCTTCTATAGTAATTCAGTACCAAAAAGGTCCTCTGTAAGTGAGGTGGTTGTCTCAACAAAGACTAAGGTACCCCACACAGGTTTTGTTGAGCAATAAATAAGATGTTGGAAGAACATGAGAAAAGTTTATAAACAATGAGGCAGTGAGCAGAGTATAAATAGCACGAGAAGTGAGTACAAATTTCATGCTGTATTTGGACAGTTGGTTCCTTTTTAATTAAAAAAAACACTGTTTAACTACTCAGCTGCAAATGCTATGCTACTCTATCTGCCATGCTTTCACCACTTTGTCAGAAATGCGAAAAAAAAAATTTTAAATTTTGTAATTTGTCTTGCTCTGCAGGCTCATCAAAATAAAGCACAACTCATAAAAAATGTCATTGATACTACACACCAAAATGTCTAATAAGATATATTTCCGAGGCATGTTGACTCACATAGCCATTTTGTTACTCTGGAACTTAATAAGATAATTGGCTATAGTTTAACACCTTTTTTATGTTGCAGTATGTTCATGGTACATTTGAAAAACTAGTAACACTGTACCTTAACTACCTTTAAAGTTTGGACTGACCCAAAAACTTAATAAACATCATTCTGTAAAAGCATGTTATTGTTGCAAGTTTCTAATACATGCATTTACCTCTTGATTGACTTACATGTGATTCACTGATTTAGTTACATGTGCAAAAAGAAACCTTCGTTTAGTTCAAATGTTTGAGTAGATAAGTTAATTTAGTTGGTTTCCGAAATGAACAGTGGTGTTCAATGTTGATTCTATCGACTCAGGTAATCACTATGAACTGTAGTTTTATGAAAATTCCATGAATTTCATGTGAAAAACCCATGAAGATCATTTCATGGCCCATGAATACTGCAAAATTAAATTTCATGGGGTTATTTTTAGTCCTGAATTTTCCATGAATTAGGGGAATTTTTTTCATGACCCATGAATTTCTTCAAAGTCTATTTTTATGACCCATTGATTTGCCATGAAAGTCATCAGAATTAATTTCATGACCCATGAATTTCTTTATATGCCTACTTTCATGACCCATGAATTTCTTCAAAGTCTACTTTCATGACCCATTAGTTTCCCCAGAAAGTCATCAGAATGAATTTCATGCCCATGAATTGCAATCAAACAGCATTTCATGGGCTAACAATTTATTTGTTTTGGGAGAACAAAATTAATGGGCCATGAATATTCAGAAATCTGTTGCCCATGAATTTCATTGATGAATTCATAGGCCATTAAAAGTGGTAATAATGAGTTCATCACAGTCACTGATTTATCAACGAGCTGACTTTCATGATCCGTGGAACTAACTTGTTATATTTATGTACTGATGGAATTTTGGTGTACAGCGCGAAAACCGTCGAATGAAAATGTCCCTAAACATCTTAAGTGGCCTTTGTTAACGTAAAATGTACAGGAAATCACAAAACAATGACTAAAAACAATGGATCTTCAATTTGCTCCTTTGTTGAGACAAATAGGGCAATGACCCAGATGTTTGATCCTCACTTTGATTTTTTGGGGCCTTTTTGCCTTCGCCATGCCTGGACGACTTTGTTGAATTTTTTCTGCCTCACTGCTGGCTTTGATTGTTAGCTATGACTCTGGAAACCTGTTCAAGGCCTTCTCTTACATTCTTACGGCTGAGGAATCTTCTAGGGCTTTTCCAGTAAGGCACCTGCAGAGTACAGATGCTTAAGTTGCACAACGCATTGCATCTACACGAAATGTGGAACAAAACAATGAAAAATCAATCACTTTGTCACCTCAATTTGGAACTTTGAATAGTGTGCAAATGTAACCTGAAAAAATGCTATTTTTACCTCGTTCATAGAGTCGCCGGTTAACAGAGTCAGGCCATCTTCTCAGTCGGGATGAAACGTTACCTTCATGTATTCATTGAGATCGCCTTCTACAACATCGTTGTTGATTTCGTGATCGCTTTCACAGGAATCACTGTCGATGTCAGCTCTGACTTTCTTGGACTCTGATGTCCTGTCTATTGTTACTTGCTTCGAATTCCAAATACCGAACAGCTTTTTGTGCTGCTTTATTTTGTAAGATTACAGACGCAGCAACGAGACCTCTTCGGAGTCATTTCGTAACGTCGAACACGATAACCTGTGAGGTCACTATGTGACCGCTGACCTATGATGGCTGCGATGACCTAAGGTCACCACGTGAAAGTACACGTGATTTACGAAGAAGTGGCGGTTTTTTTCGTACCTCGAACGGAATAGTTCCATTCCAATTGCATTTCTCGTAGTGTTTGTGTAGCAGTCGCTTTTTTTCCAGATCAACGCAATGGACCGTCTGAAAAGTTTTTTCAAAGGGGTTTCCTCAAGATGAAGTTATCGATATGTATTACAACGTGAAGGGGTAAGTTCAAGCTTGGTCATCTTATTACGTGTAAACATCGGAGCGCGCGCTAACTATTGATTTAACTTGAAAATTTTTATTCTGTGATCATCTGGCGAAACATCACAAGAGTTTGTATGGAAATACCTACGACCGTTGTTAGGAATAAAAAATACAGTCAAATTCTGAATACGAAATACCTCACCTCACTTCCATAGTGCGTCGCTTAGTATCTGACGGCTTCATGTTGAAAAGAACCTGTTTTGGCGAGTTATCCATTTCTAGGTTTACTACGTACATAAGAAAGGCTCTTAGATAACTGATGATGTGCTCCCTTTATTTTGCAAACAGTGAAGAGTGTTGGTCTACAAAACTGATGAAAGGAAATGCATACTTGCTAAAGCAGCCTATCTTGGTCCAAACGATGATGAAGATGCAAATAGTAATGATAACCGAAAGAAGGATGGCACATTCAGGTGGCCAAAACAGAGAGACACTGTCATAGTCAGCCATAGATATATCTTCACACATGCAAGAGTGCAGAAAGTTGGTAATTGTTTTGTTGTTAGTTACCTTGAGAGTATTGATCACAAGTGTAAAACATATCAAGAAATTTACATGAATGCTGTTACATAAATAGACATTATAATAACTGTCCATAACATTTTACACATGATATTAGACGAAGGAAATGATATTTGAAGTTTAGACAAAAATACATCAAGCCAGTGAGTATATTTTCAATAATTTCGTCCAAATATTTTTCACATCAAATTTATTATATACCTTCAGAAATATAGGAGCAGAATCTGTCTCCACAAGGAAAATCAGTGATATCAAAATAGAGCTAAAAATCATTAACATCTTAATTTTATGCAGAAAATTTCATACCAATTTTTTTTATTTAAGAAAGTGTAAACTGAATTATCACAATTTTGGAATCCTAAAGTAATATTTATGTACAGCTGGTGAAACAAAATAAACTATCAGAGAATCCAAACTTCTGGGCCGGGTTGTTCAAAGCTGGGTTAAGATAACCCAGGGTTAGTGTGAAATCCGATTTCAGATCTAAAAGCTTTAAAAGAAAGTTCAATCGAATTCTTTTTGTCTAGAGTATGACTATTTGATGCTTTGAAAAGGACACTGAAAATTTTCCCAAAAAGGCTTTAGAGTAAAGGAATAAAGAAACCCAGATTAAAATCTAACCCTGGGTTAGCGTACAATCGGCCTTCGAACAACTGGGCCCTGGTCATGTCTTTCATGTGTGTGTGCTTGTACAACAGGACCAAGAAGTTTCCCAGATAGGTTAGTTCTTCAGTGTATAATTTAAGTGATAGTGTATGTATTACAGTTATGGTATACTGCAAGCTATACACTGTAGTACAGTCTTTGGTACAAGAAAAGTGAAGAATTTTTAATTCCAAATTCATAGGGTTTTCAAAGAATTTTCATGGTGCTTGCATATTCCTAACAACCCCATGAAAACTAACTGGCAATTAACTTTCATGTGCCATGAAAAAACCATGCATGAAAATTCAAGGAAAATTTTTGGTCAATGAATTTTTAACATATTCACAGGATATTCATGGGTCATGATTTGTTGCAACCCATTAAAAACTAGTGAACTTTGACACCATGAAATTTTGGGCTTGAAATTCATGGGTTTCTCAGCCTTTGAAAAGGCCATGAAATGCCATTTTCATGGGTATTTCATGGCTTCTAGGTCACTTTACTCAATATTTCATGGGTCGGGAATATGGAAATTTTCACAGGTTTTTCATGGGATTTTTCAGGTCTTTTTCATGGCACCTAGACCATGAAAATGTCATTGATTTAACCATGAATATCCTGTGAAAAATCTGTGAATTTACAATGAATTATTTCACAAGATTTTCATGGGTTTTGAGTTCATAGTGAATGCTACATAATTTTCATCGCCAGTGAGGTTCATGGTTGTTCATTATTCCAAAGATATCCAAATTCAATTTATAATAAAATAAGTTTCAGATCAAATTTATCTTTTCAAAGCCTATGAAAATGGCCTATAGTGTGGCCAGAGAATTGCTAAGGAAGAGCATTACTGTTTTAGGGGGTTGTGTTGACACTAAGGGTAAAACATTTATTTAATTAAGAATAATATTATGGGGACCTCAATTATTGTTTTAAGTATCAATAAATCAACTTATCTGTCCTGATTCAAACAAAAAGATCTCTTTAACAATTATTCCCTGAAGGCAAAGTGAATATTGTTTAACAATCCCTGTGACAAAGGCAAGGGGACTATTCAATAATATTCATGATATTTATTTTGTTGTCAAAACCTTTCTATTACAATTGTTTTGATTACTCATATAGAGATATGTAGCAAGTTTTCACAACAATTTAATCAGCAGCTTTATTTAATCCAATCAGCAAAAACCTCTGTCATATCTTTTTTCCAAAGTGTTACATCAAACTTAATAGCATCTTTTATGCTCTTTAGAATTAAGTTTTCTTCTATCATGGTTATTAGTTCCTTGGTAACACTAGAGTGACTTAACAAGAGGACTGGAACATCATTTTAGAGTGGGAAAGTGCACAGATAATCTGGACATGACTCTATTTCAACTTTTGGTGTTAGTGTTGCCATTCTCCCCAACAAGTTCAGGGCGTCGTTAATCACTGGTGTTCTCGTCATGATCAAAACACCTGGGATTTGTGTAACTTGTGCTCTTATAAATGAGATAATGCTGTTTGGAATGATTTCAGAACTCCAAGATAACCAGGTCCCTTTCTTTGTTTTATTTGGTGTGTTTGCAAAAATTTACCACAGACTACATTTATTCTGGATTCCCAAAAGGAAACGTGATCGTTAGTATAAGCCATCCAAGATTTCTAGGCTCAGTTCGCTTTTAATTGAGCAAGGCTCTAAACAATGTAAGGACTTTCCTTTAATAAATTTCTTTAACCCTGAATGAAAACTCTACAAATGGGATGCAGTTAATTTTATCGTAAATTAATTCATCAATAAATTAAACTTGCTTCATGTTGAAGTTTGTCAAAATGAAATATCACAAAGCTTACCTACTGTATTATCCAGTGTTATTTGTTGTCATTATCATCTTTACCGTGATTAAAAAATGTTCTGCAAATTGAAGGCAGAGATAAAAATTTGAGAATAGCTTGGGTTTGCACTTTTAATGTCTTAAATTTTTGATAAGTACTGGTGAAAACTAAGACAAGAAGGTCATGCTCTCCCTATGAAAGAAAATGACAATCAACTTGATTTTGGCATGGCTTTTTAAATTTATCAATTTGATTCAGTCTTGATAAATTTTATTCTTAAAAAGAAAAAAAATTAAACAATGAAAAAAATAGAAAAGGAATGAAGTCTTATTCCTAAGTCAAGCCATTTTTTGGGTGATTAGTTTGAGTACACTTCATTTGTTCATGGTTAAACAGGAACTCATTATATAAAAAATTTGAGAATAAAATATCAAAATTTGATAGATGAATCAGCAGACTCAAGACTAAACTGGGATGGAATAATTTCAAAGTCTAATCACCCATGTGGATTCATATTACCAACTTACATGCAGCATCTATATAACTATCCTCTGTTTGTGCTTGTTACAGAACTCTCAAAGAAGATAATTTTGTTGTCCTTAGGGTGGTCTTTAAAACTGAAAGTTCAAAGGTGATGGTGATCTTAAAAGAGCTGAGGTTAGGATATTCAAGAACAAACATAACATTGACTGTCCATTGCAACGGCTGCTAAGTCACTTTTGAGACACAATGAGACAACGTTCTTGACTCAGTTTCTTACTCATATTTTTGCTGTGCATGTCATTGTCAACTGATGTTCCCGTCCTCATGTAAATCACTCTTCTGACAAAACATGAGGTGACCATTTTGAAATTTAGCCCCCTCGCTGTAATCACTTGGTGCAAGTTGATTATAGCAAGAAATGTCACAATCTTCTGCCAATCAGAGTGCACACATCTTTGTACTCTCCACAACAGTTTTATGGATATTTTTTATCCCCAGCTTTATTCTTTATAGCTTTCACTTAAAGTTTCCACTGTTTGGAAATGAATTGAATATTTGGGGTTACACAGGTAAAGGTAGGAGCAAACATGGTATAATTATTGGGGCAAAATCATCCCAACACAGGAAAACTGACAGGGAAAAAACTTGCAAAGAGAAAAATAAATTTAAATTAAGGGTTTTTAAATTAATGTCTTTAACATGTTGTATAACTTTGGTAGTCCAAAGCAGGATAGTACAAACAGCAGTAAAAATTTATGGTAAAGAGGAAGACCTTAGACCTTTCTTTATCATTATTTTGCAAAGCAATTGTTTTTGCTACTTATAAAACTTTGTTAAATGTGCAATAGCAAGCTGCATGCAAAGCTTGTGGAAGTGAATTAACTAAATAAGTGGAAATTAGGTTTTCTCTCACTAACCAAGATGGCCCTGGAATGTAAGGGGAGATTATATTAGTGATCAGGCCGTACTCAAAAGAAAACAAGTATCCTCATTACTATTTTGCTGGATAATGTATGGGTATTGTAAGAAGTTACATGTTAGTCATTTCTGGTAGTCAAAGGGTTAAATTAAATAAAATGGGTTTATTAGAAGTGGAAAGGGGATGATCAAGTAAAAATTATTATGTTTTAAAACATTTTGTGAACCATATAGGTTTTTAATTGGAAAAAATTTGCATGATCCGATACTATTAAAAAACAAAGCCGTAGTCTGAAAGGAAATCTATTGTTTTTACTAAAATAATGGTTTCCTCATATCCAAGAACACAATGAAGTCTAGGGATTCTGTAGAAATCTTACCCATTTTTAAAAAAAATTGCTTATCTCACCAGAAAGCTGAACTATTGTCTTAAAATTAACCATGGCAAAGGAGAGCAAAGTTAAAATAATCGGACAAGCCTATTACCGAGTTTCAAAATAGCGGGTAATTTTTCAAAGAATTGTTAACACAACACCATCACATTAGTTTGAAAGCGTATCTTAAATAAACCTAATATGCCTACCTGACTTAACATAACGTTTTTAACTATTATTAATGTCACAAAAGTTTATTTTGTATAAATCTTACCAGGTTGGATGCAACCAAATTTCTAATTCTCCACAGAATCGTCATTGACGCACAATTATCTTCAATTTTCCCTGATTCCAGCCTTCAAACATAATGAAGTAGGTCAAGTAGCATTCAACACGATCCCAGAAAATTGTTTTGGGCGCTAAAAATAAAAAAAAAAAAAACATTAAAAGATTCACTCTGTATGCTTTACAATACAACCCACGAGACTGACGCCATTATAACCACTTGCAAAGTAATATGGGAATTGTCAAATGTTACTTCCGCTTTCCTTCACTGAAGGAGAGACCCTGGGGATGAGACGTGATGAAGACAGGATTTTTCATAATATTTTTTTAAAGAAAATTTATTGCAAGAAGAATTCGTGGCAAGGAAATTACCAAATTTTCATACTTACCTTCTTTTCCTGGATAAAAGTCGTGTTATTTTCGTGTTCATATCACCCGATCCGCCACTTTTACTGGCGTCCTGACATTGTTAGGATTGTCACAGTGTATGAGAGCGACTTAACATGCATATCAGAAAAGCACACCATTGCTAGATGAAAACGATGATGTAATTGGACGGTTGCTTGTAATCGGACGCCTGTAATTCTTAGACATTTACATCAGCCAATCACACTAAGAACATACAAATAGGTCCACCAATCACAGAATTGATTTCACAAACCATAACAACAACTTACCATCTGGAGCTGGGGGTTTCCGAAAAATGGAGGAAAAAAAGAAATACGAAAAGGAGAAGGAAAAGGAGATTGTAATGGCTGAGTGCAGTGTTCAAAAAATGCTATTACAAGTTCTTCTTTCAATAAATAGATGGGTTTTCGCGGAAATTGTAATAATTGTAATTAAATGGTAACATAACTTTTTGTCGTCCAATTCGGTCATTAAGCTTACTCGTGATTGACAAATCGAACTCCCGCTTTGCGGATGTCCCATTTTTTTAAATGCTCGCACGAGTTACAGACTCCACCCGATCTTATTACCATTATTTATCGACTGGAACCAGCTGAAACACACAGGAACCCTTTTGTTAAACGCATCATGTGATAAGACCGTATCAAAAGTTGTCTCGTTGCTCAATAAAACTCAAAGGTCTTCGGCCTCTGTTGTAAACTCTTCAAGCCGAGCACTGTAAATATATTCAGTGTTCAACACTTTTGATTTTAAAATTTACGGTCAAAGCTGATGGAGTGCCGTGTACTAGCTTGGTGGATCTTCATTCTTGTGCTTGTCTGCATTACGACTGAAGCATCGCACTTCCGACACGGCAGTATAATGTGGGCTCCAGATAATTCTAACAGCAATAAGGTATGGTAATTTTTGTAAAAGAATCTCTACGAAGCCTCAAAAAGTTGGCGATCCTCTACTATATAGTTACCCAATTTAATCACGTTGAGTTGTATGGAAGTCTGTATGCTCTTGGAATTTGTGAAAATCTTTCCTAATTCCACCTTAAGGCGATTTTTGAGAATTAATTTGCATGTTTTTCTTAGCATTCTTAAAAGCCATTCAGCTTTGCCTTAACTTAAGAGAAAACGAACCTGAAATAATTTCTTTCTTGAGTAGAAAAAGAAAAAAGAGGCAATAGTTGAATGACGATAGCTAAATTGTTTACCCCACACAAATTGCAATCGAGTAACTTGAATTTTTAGGTGAAATTAAGTTTCAAGATGGGAAAATAGAGAGATTCGGAAATATGTACGTGAAAGCAAAGTTCACAAACTAGTTGCCTTTTGCATTTGCAAGATAAAACTCCTTTTCGGTAAATGATGCGCAATTATCAAGGTAGAAAAATGAAATACAAAAGATAGAACTTTAGTCCAGATTCCCGAGATATCACCAAAAATTCTCTCCTACAGCCTCGATGCATTTCCTTTTAAACTAAGAAGCTGATAAAAAGTTGTGTTTGTTAAGGCAACGCCCTTAAGCTGATACGTTTTTGCAGTCTTATAAACCTTTTGTTAGATAATGGATAACGTATTGAGGGTGTCGAGAAGAAAAAAAAAAGGCTAATGAAACGAAGGTCACTTTGTAAGAATTATTCAAAAAGCTGCTCTCAGAGTTTTAGAAAACTTTATATGGCGAGGTAACATCAGGTTAAAGGCAACCCTTTACACTGTTGTAAGGTATGTAAATGTTAGGTGTTCCTATCATGTCGCAGCATATTTATCACGAGCTTATCATGCTAGTCATGTGCTTCCATTGTTTGAATAGTTTGAAAGTCCAAGGTCGGTCAGAGCTTGGCCCTTTTAGTATGTTCCTAATTAGAGGTGTTTTGGCTATCTTTTATCTATTTGTATTTAAAAACAAAAAAAAAGAATACATTGTAAAAAAAAAAGTGTTTCCGTCGAATATCATGCACGTTTTAATTTCTCCGAGATCTGGCGAGCAGTCATGATGCAAAGAGGAAAAACATTTTTGGGTGTCTGGCGTAACAGGCTTGTAATATAACTCTAAAAAAACGTACCACCATAAGCCTTGATACAGTCGTTGTGAAAACAGTCATAAACTTTAGTTTAAGTGTTTTGGCTAAGTATAAAAAGAACGAAATGAACTTAAACATTTGCAAATGATATATTCTGACCAAAGTGGGCTGTGTCCCACATTAGGAGATTTTACGTCCCAGAATCAGTTCAGAAGGCAATTCGTTGATTTTCTTCGCAAAAGTTCTACTCCTCGCTGGTAAATTTCGATACATGCGTGAAGTAGGAGACTTCGAGAAACATAATTTCCCAAATTTAAGAGTGGTTTGCACACTTAACCCTCTCGCATCGTTAGAGGCAGGGTCTAAGATTGATACATAAACCGCGAGAGTTGAGTCCTTACGAAGATTTGCCAGTTTGGAATAAGTAAAGATATCTCTAAAGGGCAAAAATGTTTTTCTTCTTTCACAGGTTCAAACAAACAAATGTTTTTACAACAACACAATTTTTTTATGTACTTTAAGGAAGTTGGACTGCTTCAATTTTCGACGCGCCATACGTGAGCGGGGTCAACTGTCTTCTCGAAATACTTAATTAACGCTCATTTTAGAGCGGCACCGGGCTTTATTCACTGTGTGCCAACTTTCCCTTTCTATTATTTTGTAGAGACCAAAAATCATTACCTATACTTTAGTTCTTAATCGCGACATCAAGCAGAATCAAAATAGTTCTCTAAACTCGCTACCATTTGGAAAACTGACCGAGATGACCCTCGTGACAGGAATTAAGGGAATTTAAAACTTAAAAACGGAACTCAATCTTCGCGTTTGCCATTGCTGTTAGTGCCGTGCTTAAAATACTGAACTTCGCAATTTGCGCGATTATATCGGTAACTTATGGGTACACAATACATACATGTGTGACCTACCTACTATACTTGGTCGTGCGGGCTAAGTAAGTTTTTTTCGAACTCCAATGCAACTTATTACTGAAACGAAACTAAAAAAAATGTTGAGATAAAAATCGGGTTCGAAATTGACATTTAAATGTATATTATATAAGGCAATGATAGCCGAGACTAGATTGTTTTCATTTGGAGAATCGACGGGGGGGTGTTCTTCGATACGAGACGCATATCAAGATAAAAATGCCATCAGTTTGGCAAAAATGAAGGCAAACTGCCAATTGCAGTAGGGAATAATTCTTTGCTGAAAGACAATAGTTGATTTATCAATCACCACACTGAACAAATTGATTCTCATGGATGGTAAGATGATCTTTATCGTGGTTAGAATTTATAAAGTTGACTAACGAGCGGCCTTTTGCACAAGCATAATTACACACAATATGCACCGGATATGCAATCTGCGTTTATCGTGAATAGTGACCAGGAAAAGATATCATATCAGGATAAAATACAAAGAACCTTAATGAAATAAAATTTCACAGCATAGGAATTATAACGTGCGTTCTACGTCTGTTATTAGCTTGTTTTTTCATGTGCTTCAAATGTCTGAATTGGTTACATATGTACATGCATATTTGATTTGAATTTAAAAATAAAGGTCATGTAGTTAAAAAAATTAATTTCCCAAGCAAGGGCGCCACAATTACATTCTTTTGAACCAAAAAAAACTGGAGCCGACTTCTTCAAAGCTGATTTCGTATATTTAAGAAAATTAATACAGCAGAGGGAGGAATTAGGAAAATATCAATTTATTACTACGTGTTATAACAATTATCTGACTGGTTTAGAAGTGACTTGCCTGTACAAAATCGTGAAATCAATGACTTTTCACACAGTTCTTCCAATTCATGAACCAGTGAAATAATATTTTTTCCCTGTGTGCTTTAAATGTTTCTTCATCTTTATCTTAAAACGCCTCTTTTTCAAATAATTTCAATCGAAATGTTTTCCCACAGTTTCACTGAATCGAATTCAAGGAGAACTTTGTACATTAACAATCTCCGATGATGGCAATTTTTGAGAATTGTTTATCACTTATCAATAATTTTGAGCTCGAGATAAAGTAACTACATATCAAATAGTTAGCTCACCATTCGATTCCTATGCCGTAAAATTGATCTCTATTGATGAGAACTGGATCATTTTAACCCACCATTGCAAAACATTATTTCACGCAGTGACGTAGTGACGTCTGTCGTTTTTCGGAGAAAATTACGAAATTGAAGATGATGTCGCACATTTTATAAATATCAATTCCCCTTCCTCACCTTCCACCCCACCCCAAACTATGTGTCAGAGTGGGAGTGGTGCAAGTAAGCTTGGAACGTTCACAAACATTTGCTATTCCACCAATTGGATAAACACCCCAAGCCCATACTCAAGGAAGATAACTTCTACATGAATATGATTAAAATGACTCTTCGCAGGTTCACGGTTTATTTGGGGGGTTAGGAATAGAAGCAGATGAGAACGGATCAACTTTTGTAACAATGCACTTAATTTGAAAACGAAATATGGTGCATTCAAATATTGTAGAGGCTTGGCTCTTGGCTCTCTTAACAAAAAGATGATATCTACAAGGTGACATGTCATCGTCATTGGATTCCTTTTCCTAAAAATAAGTGAGCCACTCTTCTTAAGCAAATTGATGTACTTTCTTTCAACTGTGCGTGTTGTTCTTGCACTGGCAATTCATTTAAAATGGCTTGTGTCTGTAACATGAGAAGAAACCTTCACACCAGGTTGGGAAAGAAGGGGAGATTAGGGAAAGGGTAAGACACTGAAAGTTATTTCTTGAATGAAGAAGCTAAGATTATCTTAGTGCGTTCTTTTTTTAATTCCACATGATCATTACGGCATGTAGAATGTGCTATATAAGCTAATAAGTAATTATGAATATTATAATTATTATTATTATTAATATTGTTGGTAGTAGTAGTAGTAGTAGTAGTAGTAGAAGCAGTAGAGGATTTCTGGAAGAAAAGCTTTAAAAACTTATCATTGGCTCCATGATCTCCTAATTGGTTGCTCGTATGATGTTTTCCAAAGTTCAGTTTGATGTTATTTTGTCATTTTTTTTTGTGTTTGTTTGTTTGTTTTTATTATTTTAATGCCTGCAATAAGTCCATGCAGGTGTCTTTTTGAAAGAATGGTGCATGTATTAAATGGATATTCAGTGCCACTTTGCTATGTTTTCAGGCAACTACAATGACTCTATCCCCTTTCTGCTCTTAAATGATTTACTGAAATTCAATTAGACAAGTTGTCCTAGCGTAGGACAATGAAGGATGGTGGCACTCTGATAGCCTTATAACAAAGGCCGAACACTCTGCTAACACCTATTTATCGTTAATTTAGTTACAGTTTCGATTTCGCATCGGATGGAGACGATCGTACAGCGCTGATCTTTACTGTGACCAGAGTACGATAAGCAGCAATCAGCTCATTTCTTTCGGAAGCTCATGGGATGCAACATGCACCAATTCTCCTAATCCTGTATGTGGGTCGACTGCCATCGGAAATACTAACTTCTACTGTACAGACTACAGCACCACCGAGGATTGGACAGTGGGTGAAAATAATTTCACGCATACTTTCAGTAACAGCGAAAAGGAATGGCATGTGAGGTATGTCCATGAGGGATTCCTATGCTTTCGACTCAAACTGAATATATCTCACGGAAGCCGATTAATGTTCTTCACGATTAACGAACATCTGATCTATTTGTGTAGCAATTTTGCATAGCATGTGCATGGTAATGGATACTGATATTCAGAGGTACCAATGTAGTTTTGATCCATTTTTTAACAGTGTAAAAATCAAGAATAAACTTCACTATCACACCCTTTGAGGGTTGGCTGACCAAAAACAAAAACAAAATTTTAGTGATAAGTTCTCTTTGATTTAAGCTTTTCAGGTTGCTGTTGGATCGCTCTTAGTCATTATGGTGGTTCTACAAGTTGGAGAGTAGAAACTACCATTAACCTTTCGCCGCGATCAGATAATGGCAAAATTAATTCTTCCCCAGTAACAAGAAGCCCAGCCATTGTTCGATTTCCAGGAGGTTGCCGTCAGTCATTCAGAATTCCAGTTGAAGACCCGGATGGAGATACAGTGAAATGCCGTTTTGCGACTATTTCGGAGTCTCTTAGAGACAATACCAGTTTTCCATACGGTACACTGGATGAGGTAATTGATAACGAAAGTGACTTCAGGTTGAAAAAAATTAATCAAAAAATAAAAAAGCCGGTATCAGAAGGATTTTGGCTAAAACCATTAACTGAACTTTTCGAGAGACAACCTTACAGAAAATCAGATTTATTTAGTTAAAGGAAGGAGAACCTATCATCCGCCAGTTTCGATTTTAACGCAATGTGATAAGGGCAGCAATGCCCCTATCACATTTGATAATTGAAACAGCCCTCCGGTCAAAAGATTGAGAAGATCTGGAGCTTGTGCTGGAGCAAAGCTGGAGGTTTTTGAGAATTCGGCCCTGCAGGCGTTAAAGAGGGCTAAGTCTATAACTCCCAACAGTGATTGAAATATAATTTCTCCTTACAATATCAAGGTATTATCAAGCAAGTAAATGATGGTGGATAAACTCGTCGCCTGAAGCTTGTTACCTTGATATTACACCAGAATGGAAGTGTATCAGGACATTATATGAGAGAGTTTTAAATCGTATGTTGGTACTCTCACTAGCGTTATTTCTTAATATAAACTTTCCCTGGCAGACTCCTTGCGTTCTGACGTATAATGGATCACAACAAGCAGTTGGCGGAATTTATGCAGTGGCATTAACTTTAGAAGACTTTCCAGCGGGAACTACAAACTTTGGTAGCGTCACACCGTTCAGCGGTATCCCATTACAGTTTCTTGTCATGGTAATTGGTAACCATGCAGGTAATTGTCATAAAAAGCCTGTCTATACAGCATCTACCCCAAAAGACGGTGAATGTTCTGATGTCTCGATTGGCTCTGCATATATTGCAGTGATAGAAGTGCAAGTTGCAGATCTCTCAAAGTCGTAAGTTTAGCGAACTAGAGTAGTTGCTTTGGAATGTTTTAGTTTTTAGTTTCAAAATTAAATTTTGACTCAGAGGACATATGTATATGAAGGTTCCGAACGAAAAAGTCTGTCAGAATTCTGGAACATTTTCGTGCCAGAACCCTCACATGCTAAAACAGCTCGCTAACTCGAGCTCGTAACGCCAGGGTCAATGAGAGAATGCTCGCAAGCTAAGAAGAAAGTGAAAAATAAGCTGTGATGCAAAGTCGCTTCGAACTCTGATTGAGGAGAACATTTTGGAAGAAATGAGGGCTTAAAAACAAATTAACTTCTCCACCAAGTGGTACTTAAGTGAAAAACATTTTGTGAATTCAATGACTATGAGATTACCCCGCCATGGCTTACTGGTACGTAGGCATTGGTATTACGACGAAATGTCACTCTTCATGCCCGAACGGGAACTGAAAAGACCTCAGTATCTAAGCTAATATCATGGACACAATATTTTATTTAATCCATTCATTTCAGCATTGTGGAAATAACTACTGCTTCTCCATCTGGAATGCAACTTACATCTTTACGCAATCAAGGACAAATCTATTACAGAAATGTCACCTGGTACCCACGTCAGTATCAAATTGGACAGCAGTTGTTCTGCTTTAAGGCAATAGACTCTGCTGGGTAAGAATTACAGGCGGTATGGACATCAATCCCAAGTATATTAATCCAGGCGGTTAACAGTTTTCAAATGTTAATCTCAAATCGTATAAAATTGAAATATTCCTTTTTTCGAATTGACAGGTGATTCGCGTTTTTCCAAGCTTCAGGCAGTTTGCTTGTTTTTAATTTGAATGCTATTTAACTCCTTGTGATATCTTCCTTTCCTCTGATCAGCTGCTGCTAATTTTCATCATTCATTTTTTTCGTTTACTCTATTCACCCGTTACTCTCATTTTATGTATTTTTCACAGACTGGAAAGTGAGTGGCGATGTGTGACAATTCTTGTCGGCATGAGTAAGTATATACTCAATTCACATTGTGTGGCGTTAATATCGAATTTACATTAACGAGGACTCTGCCAGTTAGGTGAACACGATCACACATTGACTTGCATCGAATGAAAAAACATTGTGAAGCCTTTCGTTAAACTTAGAGGGAAATATAGTGGGAACTACGTCTTCCAAATTTTGACTTTATAATGAACTTCACTCGAATAACGCCCTCTGAGTAACACTAAAATGTTCGAAAAAATTTGATATGGTCTCGACAGCAAATGCTACCAACATGATGACCCTTTAGTTTGTTTACTTATCAATGACTTTCCGTTCGGGGCAGTGAAGTCACTATAACCTAGGTATCATTCGTAAAAAAGTTTAGTCTTGGAAATCCTTTTGTTTCACGAATTCGACAGGAAGGCAAATTTTTATCATCAGAAACGTGTAATAAGAACTATCACTCAAAGTGTTGGTAAAAAGCGTAAAAAGAGGTTCAAACATAACAACTTTTTTTCAGGTAGTACTCCGCGAGTTATTTTAGCGAGTCGCAAACCCAAAGCACCAGTTAGTACATTTGGATCAGGTTATTCCAACTGGAGCGTTCAGTTTGACCGATTGGTAAGGTTCCATTATCAGTGTCTCACTCACCATCTAATTTCAACTTTTGGTTGCGGGTTAATTTGCGTGGTAACAAAACATGACGTTAGCAGTATACCGTTTTAGGTCAGGCTCTTTTCCAGTGAAACAGTCTGCATGCGGCAGATATTCATTTATCACTTTGAGCTGAATTGATCGGTCAATGTGCTCACTTTCGAGCGCTCATTTACACATCCTTCATTTCACGCTTTCGGCCAGTTCATAGCCCAAAACACAGGCTATATGTTTTTATGTAATTGGCACATTTTGAGTTCTTTTCATCCATGATTCACGAGTGAGGAGACGGCTACCCTGGGTTACTCAGAAATGGTTTTGTCTGTTTATTGCATAAAACAAATAGATCCCTATTTTCCCTGCATCCTTTTAGTTGTCCATAATCTATCAATCACATTTCTGGACAGGCACAAGACAGCGCATAATTAAGTCAATAAAATTTACGATTGGGTTAGAGAAAATGACACAGAAGTAAGAACGCACGTCCCCGAGAGCTGCTGCTCAGGTTCCTTGCGGAGCCTGACGCCACTTGTGAGATGAATTTTTCGGTGGTTCTCGTCCTTTTTCCAAAAGTTCTCCCAGGTTCTCCAGTTTTTTTCCCTCCAAAAAAAAAATGTTCGAATTTCCAGTCGGTGTTCTGTGAGCAGTGGAAGAAGACACATTTACTCCTTCCGGAAATGACACAGCTGGATTTCATTTTTCTCTCTAATTTAATTACTGCAATCTGTAAAGGTTTATACTTTGCAAATTTTCCAACAGATCAAAAAACCTCGAGCATCGTCTTACATAAGACTCGTCTTGCTGCCCAGTCGACAAACAGTCTACAAAGTGGACGCACTCTCTCAAAACGTGACAATTGGTAGTAATTCAACCACACTGCGTTTTTTGATTCCCCTTCCTGTGTTGAGCATGGAAGGGTTATATGCAATCTTAATGGATAAAGGAGTAGTGGTTGGAGAGGGCTGTTCATCTGGTGGCACTTTCACACCCGGAATATCATCCTCGAGCGCTTGGAGATTCTATGTACGTGGTGTATGTCGCTTCGGATATTCGCTTAGTTTGCCAGACTTTCGTAGCTGTGTAGGTGAGCTGATGGCACTTTCACATTTTCTTCATAAATTCTTTAATATGACTTATGTATATCCGACGTTACTTTCTTCGTGTAAATGTTTCAATACATTAATACTCATGTTGTTAGCCCAGAACCCTTCGTGAACAATGCAAAATGCCCTGAAAATCCGTTATCTTCCTCAAATAAGTATATTTGATAGTGAAAAAAATAGAAGAGTCACCTTGGAACATAAGAGTTATATCAAGTATTTAGGTGTTTTGATCGATGAAAATCTTTCTTGGAAAAACCATTTGGACTGTGTTATCACTAAAATAAGTAAGACCATAGAAATGATTGCTAAGCTGAGACACTTTGTTCCATCATCTGTACTCACAAATATTTATAAATCCTTAATTTTACCTTATTTAACTTATGGACTCGTTGCTGGGTCAAAGGAATATCTTGTAATATGTAAGAAAATGAAAAATAAAAGTGTAAAGTGTAAAAGGAAAAAAATAATAATAATAATAAAAAGTGTGAAAGAACTCTAACAATTTATACCACAGGCATATATTACACACCAAAGATGTCAAACATTGCATTATTATTTCTTTTTAAGAGACATAAGTATTTCATTCATATGCCCATCCCATCAATCCATCCTTACGTCCCTACATGTCATTCACAAAGTGGTTGCCCAGCTAATCAATCAGATATTCTTTTTCTTTCAGATGTAAATGAATGTGCCTACGCAAGCTCCTATGGTGAGTTGCTACATCTTTCCCCGCAAAATAAACCGTTCTCTATGTAGTCGTCTGAAATCGAGATGAAGCTTTTAAGAGAAATCAGAGTTTTGTGCTCTGTTAGCTCTGTTTCTTTATTTCGATTTTCACACGCTCGATTGTACTTTACGGTGACTTTTAACAATGGTGAAATCGTGAAATACTCAGAATTCCAAGACACAACGCATTCTTTTTTTTTAGCTAATTCATTCCCATAGGGAAGTCTAAAACTCATCATCTTTGAAGTTTACAAAGCAGGACCTGGCTTTAAAAAGTCACAGAAAGGAAGTCGTTTTTTTTATGCACAATCTGTCAAAAGAACACACCCTATTTTGCATCTCCTTCAGTTTAACCGCGCAAAATCAGTTGCATGAACTTGCACCAGTAGACAGTGGAAAGCTACTCCGCTTAAATTTTGTATTTGTCGTTTAACGCTTAAAAAGCGTTTTAATCCTTGAACTAACTATTTTAACTTTCCTCTTCAGTGCATTCGAATGCTTCAGCCCGGTCAAAAATCTTTCCAGAGTTCATATTACCAGCAGGTTGTGATCAAGTCTGTCGCAACACTCAGGGAAATTACAGTTGTTCTTGTGCAAGCGGATATCAACTGCAGTCGAATGGAAAATCTTGTAAAGGCAAGAAACAAAATAAGTTGGACAAATCCTGTTCCCGTATTTAAAATGCTTTTTTTCGGCAAATAAACTAACAATTTACTCGATTGTAACACTCATCTATATGATTCATAAATTGTTAGTATTAAATTTTCTGAATAAAAAGGAGTTAGATTAAATAAAGCGAATTAAAAGTTTCATTTTCTGCCATTCTTTGCATATGATCGAGGCAGTTCGAGCCACCAGTAGTTATACCGGCTTCCTTGTGAAAAGAAGCCAACACTACTGTTCGAACAACTTATTCTCTTTGGACGCGATACGAATCCATCTCATGTTAACCCCCACTGTCAATCAAGTTCCCTGGGAATGCTGATATCCATTCAGTTGCAATTCCTTGGTAAAGAGGGGCACTAAGTCCGAAATTCCTCGGCACAAGAACAGCAACAGACTCGCATTCAGCCCCCAATCAAGGCTCGCATCCCTCGCGAACCTCTCGCGTGGGGTCCCATGCGTTTACCACTTGCCTACCCAAACTCCATTAAACTCTGTCTGTACACTGTAAAAAGCTTCGTTGGTCCTATTTGGGTATTATTTATTTTCTTAAATCGAGTTGTTCATGTGTCAACTCCATTTTAGATATCAACGAATGTTCTATCAATAATGGCGGCTGCAGTCATCATTGCTTCAACATCCCTGGAACATTTTACTGCGGATGTCCAAATGGATTAACGATGGGGATAAACAATATGACTTGTGTTGGTAAGAAATGACTGATGTCTGTTTGCTTTTTTTTTTTTCTTTCTGAAAAAATGTTTCTCTGATCATTTGTCACCAGCTGATTATTTTTTTCAGTTCTTTTTTTTTCTTCAGTCTACCCTTTGATCGCCAGTAACATAAAGATTTTAAAACAAGTTTCTTCAAATTATTCCTTAAAACTTTTTGATTTTAGACCAAACCGCAAGTGTCTCGTGCGGGCAGAACAAAATGACGGTTTATTTGGAAAAGCGAAGATTCCACTACTTTAAAGCCAAACAACTACACTTGCGCTATCCTTCATGTAAAGGCACCGAGAACGCCACCCACTTCTTGATCAGCACGTCTTTAGATAGTTGCGGGACGCTGCGGAACGAAACCGAAGATTTTCTCATCTTTTCGAACGAGGTGCATGCAGCAGCTCTGATCATTGATAATGTGGTTACTCGTTCACATGATATAAAACTGCCATTTTACTGCCGATACTCCCGAAAGAAGCTACTGAGCCTTGCCTTCACACCTCGGAGGATTTACGTCGGGAATGAAAGTAACTCAGATGAAACGAAATAGATAAGTTTATTTAGACGTTGATGTCTTAGTCAGGGTTAGTTGGTTAAGGTTTAACTGGGACTTATTTTGGTCCAATCAAAACTAGAACAAAATTCTTGAACGTGATTGGTTAACACCAGCCCGATTTGTATAGGTAACAGCATGATTACGAGTGCAATTTGGTGTTAGCAAGCACGTGTAAATTTTGCAAAGACAAGTCTTTGAAAAATTTATAAGTGCTTATGAACAACAAATTGCACTCCAAATCATGTTATTTGTTAATAATTTACATGAAGACGGACGAAATTTTGGCAGCGCGCACGCTATTTGTAATTTGCACTCGTGTTACATTTTTGTCTTTGTACTCATGTTACATGAAAAATACACTCGTTTTCAGCCAATCAGACGTGCGTAATAGGAGTACAAGTCATGCTTGTAATTGCACAGTGTAATAAGACATTTGACACATCATGCCTGCTGGTAGGTGGACAGTACGCGTCATATGCGCGCCCTGTTAGCGCGCATTTTATAGAGTTTTTTTTTGTGAAAACGTATGAGTGATGCCTGTTTTCTTTCTCTAATTTTGTCATAGTTTTGATTAATTGGTAAAATAACTTCGTGTCATCCAATTCTGTCTTTAGTCATACTCATGATCAACTAATCAGAATCCCGCTTCGAGGTCGCCCGATTTTGTCAATTACTCGTACGATTACAGACCGAATTGGTCTCCATTCAGTGCTATTACTATTATAAATTGGCATGAAACACAAAACGGAACCGGACGAAATGTAGGTAAATTACAAATAATATCCCTCGGAATTTCATCAGGCTTCCCTGCAAGTTTGCCGGTACCCGTTTGTATTCCTGGGTGGAGGAGGAGCACTGAAGTAGTTAGGTGTCTTGCCTCGCAATATTGTATTGACAGAACGAGGGCTGATTATCAGACCTTTCTATCCGGTTTCTAGACATTAGACTACCACGTCTTCCACAAATGCCAACTATCTCGGGGTACTAAAGTAGATGCAGATAAAGTTATTTTCGATGGAGTGTCGCCAGGCCAAGAGGTGGCATTTGTATTTGAAACCAGTGACAGAGAGAAGCAAAGGAAAACCATTAAAACTAGGATGAATTTCGACACTCAATTGAGAATTTCTCCTTGAGGTGAAGTGCTCAAAATCTGAATGTTGGGTTTTTGCAAGATGCAATAGAGGATAGGAACCACGGCTATAGTCCAATTGAACTTGAGACCTCTGCAATTCTGGCTTGTTTGCATTCAGTGCGGTCGGATGAACAATTAACCATACGGACGCTCTATTTGACCGCATGTAGTGATCAAAAAAAGAAAGAATTTTACTTGATTCTCTTTTTCCTGCTTTTTCCTCATTTTTTTAGCGGGATATGGTACCTTCACCTTCAAGATGGACTTTTATAAGAGTTCTTCGTTTGCCACGCCCTATACAACGCAGGACTACCCTCTAACGGTCGATCTTAATGAATATGTTTATTTACGGTACAGTGTGGCGTCCTCAGCTGACCTGGTCATTATGGCTGAGAATTGTAAGGCTACTAAAGACGCAAGCTTTTATTCTTGGCCACAATACACCTTTCTTCAAAACGGGTTAGTTTATCATTGTGCCGTGATCAAGCATAGCCAGTAACTGATCTAATACATTTAGCTAAGCTAAGACTGCAGAAAACGCCTTGTCTTCTTTGTGATTTTCAGGCGCGCGGAGATGAGCGGGGGGCGAGCGCGAGGGGCGAGAAATCCGTGGGAGGCGAGAAATCCTGAGGGGAGTTCGTCGCGCACTACCTTCCGCTTGCCTTGTTGTGCAAGCTCGATGACATTTGTTGCCTCCTGTAATTTGAATCATTTTACTTGATTACATTGTTGAAACAAGATATTAAAAGCTGTGATAAGGACCGTCTATTTGGTGTCAACAGTTACTAAAAAGGCCTTAACAGTCATAACAGTCTCAATGATAGGGCCATCTTTCTCTCTGAATTAGTTTAAATTGATGCTCCAATATTTACACGGATATCCATTTAATTCATTCGATCTTGTTTTAATTATTGTCTTTAACTATAAGATGCCCCAAAGATTCAACGCTTGACTACAGTTATGATCCAGCCCGACAATACCAACAGTTTAAAATCAAAACTCTCCGATTTTGGAACGACTATGGCACTGTGTACTTCCATTGTGAATTGCTGGCCTGTCACCGGAATTCTCCTAATTCCAGGTTGGTTTCAGAGATTTCAGTTGCATTGCAAACAAGCGAAGTCGGAAAAATGACCCTGTATTAAAATTCTAGAGAGTTGGTTTATTTTGTTAGACTGCCAGGTGTCGCCAAATGTGTCATTCCATTTTCCATTTTTTTTAAAGCAATGGAGGATCAGTAGTATTGCTATGCCACCTGCATGGGGTACTAACTAGTATTTCGGACCCACTTACCCGTAGCGGCTAAAGCCCCTTGATCAAGGTAGACAATGCAAAAAGAGGACGAACCAATGCGCCTACTAGGTCTTGAACCTGGACCCTTCGTTCTGGAGTACACGGCAAATAATTACCATAAACCACGCCGTCTACGTATCACGATTATGAACACAAGAAATTTTTTCGTCTTTTCGCGAAAGTCAACGTTAAAAGTCCGGAAACTCGGACCTTCGAGCTTCGATACTCTACCACTGAGCCCTAAAGACCCCAGGTGAGCAAGGGCATTGCTAGGTTCATTTTAACAATTATATTCGACATCGATGGTTTCCACGACTTTCAGAGAGAAATGAAAAAATGGAAAAACGGGTCACGCTTTTTCGCGTTTTGGCTCATTGTATCATGATCAGCGACTGTTAGAAAGGGAATGTATTCTCGATCATTAGCCTGTATTTCTCGTCCATGTCACAGTCCTTTGTAACTCAAAACCCAACTGACTTTTTGCAGATGTAGTAAGGGCTGTATAAAGAACAAGAGAAAGAGGAGAGACGTAGTACGAGATGGGACAGAGCAAGAAGAAAGCACAAACAAAGTCATTCTGACAGGTGGACCTGTATTGTTCGAGGGGGCCAAAGAAGAAGAATCCAAAGGTAGGTTTTAGAAATAAGCATTCGTTAATGTAGCGTGTCTGTACATCGAAACGTTATGGTTGTTTTGATAAACTTTTTTGTCTTCATTTGTAAACAGCCTGACCCCTTCACCCCTCTGTAACCATTTTTTTCAAAGGATGACTCTTGACCAAAACTCTATTCCTAGAGCTCTCGATTCTCGGCGCTGACCGAAACTTTCACTGTTCTGAGGCTACGACGTAAGTATTCTTCGAGGAATGTAACTAATTCTTGTTTGTCTTTGCAGAGCCCAAGCAGGGTATGCATACAGCTCTGATCGGTGGTGTAGCAGGCGCTGGAGTATTTGGACTGTTTGCAGTTGTAGCTCTGGCTGTTTTGTTTGTCAAGTATCGCAGGACGCAACGGTTTCCGAACAGCAACAAAGACGAGCCAGCGGGACAAAACAATGCTGCTTACATGCCGGAGGATGATGTGATCGCAATGGGAGGCAATAATTAAGTCGAATTTCGCTTAAAAACACTGGTGTTGATATATTTCTTCTTCAAAACGTCGGCATTGAGATTTATCTCTTGTTTGTTTCTCTTACGGAGGGTCTATCTTTATTTTCATGTTTTTATGTTATAGAGCGCCATGCCTTTAGAATCATCTTCACAGATTTTTTTTTTCGGAATGCATCTTGAAATGTCTCTACTAGTTTTGCAGTACATATTGGTTGGCACCTGGTTGCATATGTAAAGCTCATATACATTTACTTATCTACACTATCAAACATAACTTTTAACGGTTTCAATTATAGCGTGTGTTATTTGTTAGCTTGGTGAAATAATAAAATTCCACACCAGCATTGTGTAAAAACTTCATCACTTTAACAAGTATACTCCAGATATGATAAGCTTTCCCCCGCCATTAAAAAGTAAATATACAACTTGCCACCTTTTTGGATTCCATGCTGTGACCTAGCCGTTCGAAAACTAATTTCAAACCTTTGAAAATTCAAAAACGGAGGAAAAAATGTAAGAAAAGGTTCATTTTCGTTTTTTATGGCAAACCAGAGAAGTGGAATGCTTGAATTTATTACAATCACTTTGCCGTGTTTTTGGTTTTCTTTCTCTTATTCCATTTTCTCGGCGTTTTCACAATTCATGTACGATTCATGTGCACTTGAAAACAGGGAAACATAAGTGCAGCGCTTTTACCTCTCAAATTTAAATGATGAAATATAAGATAATGACTGCGTAGTCTAGTGGAGACATCAATTTTGTTTTTATTAGTTTGCCTTCCTTATCCTGAGCTACGCTTTTTTCTGCAGAAAGACAATTTGTAATGTGTTTTTTTGGGCAAGATACTAATGCAGTACCCAATTAAAGGCATAGCGCAATATCTTGTTTCTTATCAACATTCTGATGCGCAATAAATGCTCCAATCTCACGACTTAAGATAAAGAGTTAATGATTAAGGTGTATTCACAATTTGTAAAATTAAACTACCCAGTATGGAATTCTCTGATAGCCTCATTTCGAATCCTAGATAACGATCTGGACGGTCCAACTGACTTGTCATTACTATTGATCATTAATACAATTGACTACAAAAACGTTTTTCCACGCTTAAACATTAATTCTAAATGAAAGCTTCATGTACATATAGTAGACCCATCTAAATATACGAATTTCAATTCTCGAGATATTTGACCTCTTGCAACAGGCGTGAAACAAAATCTGTGGAAAGCGATGAATGACGGAAACTTTCCAAGTTTTCCAGAAGAAAAGAATCATTCAATTCTTGTTAAATTTTTCGATGATTATAACATTGTTTGGCGCAAAGGATGAGGAAAGTAAATCACTCGTTACATAAGAAATACTTATTTGCAAACATTGCCCATAATACCATACGATCTCTTCGTTGATGGCTCCTTTATTTTCGGTAGCAGAACATTTTGCAAACGGGTTGGTAACCACGACGAGCAACAAAAAAGTTTTTAACAATGGCATGTACGGTAAAATTGTAGAGGCCATAAAAGCTGAAAGACGTGAGACTCTGGTAATTAAAATACTGAATTTACCTTTGCGAATCCGATAGAGGAGATTCAGCTGAGTGAATACAACTGGAATACGTCAGGCGTTGAGATGACCATGATTAGAAACCAATTAATCAAATAAATTTTTTGTGGTTTCCACTCGGAGGGTTTTTGGAGTGTTAAATGAGACTGTGCATGTTTTGCTTTGTCAAACACAAGATCCCGCAAGGCGAATAGGCTTCAACACTCCAATGGTTATGATAATACATTCGACTTTCATAATTTTGACAAACTAATCATGAGATGTGAACTCACAACACGATGTTATGGCACATGTTATTCGCTGAATTGCAATCTGTTTTAAAACATAGGTCTATCTCAGAATGGAACGTTTCCTGAAAGTCTTCCTCGTTCCAAATGTTTTGCGCAACGTACATCACAGCTCTGTGCGGTTTTCAGACAAATGTTGCAGGTATATAGCTGACCACAATCATGTGGTTTATACCAAGCACCGTGGTTGATGGGCGTCGTTTAGTTCCCTCTGATGTGAAGAAAATGCAAAATAAAATGAGGAAATGAAGGTACTAAATGAATAACTTTTGAGCATGGGAGTCCGAATTGTGAAACATTTAGTTGAATAATAACTTCTAAACTGCTCTTTAACTACAACTTGATAATCGACTGAGAAGTTGACAATCAGCAAGGAAGGAAAAGTGGGCCTAATCCCTTAGTACACAGACTGAAGGCACACCGGCAAAGCAACTTTCATCAGAATGTTTTCGTTAAGTCCTGAGTATAAACGTAAAATTTCGCCCAAAGTAGTCACTGAGCCTTCTCTGTTTCCTTTAGAGTTGAGCATTTGCTGAAAGGCGCTTAGGAGACAGCCCATTTTTGACCAAATTCAGATTAGGACACTGGAAAAAATTGTTCTGGACTTACATTTTACAATTTAATAATAGAACGCGAAAAGGAAACTGAATGACTTTTATGTTTTTAAAACTTTAGTACATTCCATACATAAAAATTTTTCCCAATTAAAATACACCATGGGGTGGTAAAAATTGCGGGAAAAGAGACGCGTCAATAAATACAGATTGGCGCCAAAATTCTCGCCTTTCACACAAATGTTTCATCTTGAATCAAGGCAAACTCAACATGTGTTGTGAGATGATCATAAGAGAAGCGCTTCTCTTATGTAAGTGGTAAACCTAGAAATGGATAACTCACTAAAATGGGTTCTTTTCATTGTGGAAGTAAGATGAGGTATTTCTATTGAGAATTTGACTTTTTTTTTTTAATCTTAAGAGCGGTCGTTAATATTCTCATACAAACTTTTGTAATTTCGCCATGACTCTTATTTTGCAAGACGATCATCTCACAGCTGGAGCTTGGTATTTTTATTGGGAATTCGACTGTATTTTTTTATCCCTGAGAGAGGTCGCAAATATTCCTTTACAAAGTCTTAAAATTTCGCCATGACTCTTAATTTGCAAGATGATCATTTCACAGCTGGAGCTTGGGCTACCTGTGGTTGGCTCCGCTTGAGTTGACGCCTCAAGGAGCGTGATGCACTGCCTTGCTATGTGTATCCAAGCACGTGATCATGTCCTGCAAAAAGCCTATTGACTTCACGACACAGTACGAGCAGTACAAAATGCACTAAACGCACCGAGCATTTCTATTTTCAGTTTGAGTCGAAACCTGCGAGCAACAAAATGGTCAGGTGGCTTCCCGCGGGATGGGTCTTTGCTTTTTTGGCTCTTGGCACATTGACAGAAGCATCGCACTTTCGACACGGCAGTATAATGTGGGCTCCAGACGATTCTAACAGCAACACGGTATAGAGCTTAGTAATTCTTTCAAAACAGTTTTAAACTACTCCAGGGCAGAAAGTGATCTAGTATTTCAAGTACTAAATTTAAGTTGATTCGAACCCAGCATATACAAGATGGTACCTGTACGCATATTTACTTACCACTGAAGGTGTTCACTAATACCAACTTCTACTAATAGAGGGAGGTAAATAGACCTAAATAGGTTAATGAGTCGGAAAATTTAGCTTTCAAAAACTTATCAATTAATTTTGAAAATTTTGATCAGATGCGCAATTTGGCCCAATATCTTGATTCTCTCTGCTTTTGGATGGTATGTTCGTGTTTTGTTGACGAACTTTTTCAGTTTTTTACATTTCACTATCGGCTTTCAACGGCCCAGAAGTTCAGTTTTTATTGCAAGAGTGGTAATTTCTCGAACGCCTCTACCCACTCACATACACGAAAATTTAGCTGTGTCGCTTTTCTAAAAACATTCAATTGCAGGTGATGCTGCACGTTTCTTGGAGATCGATTAATAGTTTCAGCAATAGCGCCACATTTAAAGTCATATGTCATTTGACTTCCTCTTAGCATAAACCCCTTTAAGTATAAAGGAATATCTCAGCAACAGTTCAATTCAGGTTTGAAAGGGGCGGTGGAACAAACGAGTCATGCATAATTTCCGTAGTACATATGAGATAATCTGTAATTTAAGAGAGGATACCACTGAAAAAAAATTAGTGTAGAAACAGCTCATTAGTTCGGAAATTTCCCGAATATTAACTATTCCAATTCAACACGTAGTCGTGTTGTGCCGAGACAACATTTTCAAACAAAGTCCTTTTTCGTAGATCTAAAGGGTATGTAAACCCAAAAAATGTACTTTTTTTTGACATAGCTGTTTAGTAAATATATCAAATATACGAAAGGCACCATTCGTTTTTTCTCAAAAGTCTATTTCCAGTTTGTATAGGCGGAAATAGACTGTAGTGTATAAAGTGTAGTGGTCAACAGAGTAGATACAAAATTGATTTACACGGAAACCTTACGAAAATTAAATAACTATAGCTTTGTCGGTTCTTTTAAAACACCTTTCTCATCTACTAAAAGATTATGGCGAAGCCAATTGTTCGGGAGCATGCGCTAATCCCATAAAACATGATAAAGACACTGACCTGTCTGAACCTTTGCATGAGTTCGAAACACGCATTAAAGATAGAGAATTCGTTGATGTCGGTATTTCATTTGATGTGGAATTTTGTTGGTTCGATATAAAGAATTCTATAAATGATCCTATAATCAACCCTTATGTTCTATGAGGGAGTCCATGCCAGCCCCACTTGCTGCTTCCTTTGAGAAACCCTGCAGAGAAACAGCAGTTGAAGAGTTTGTGTCTCGATTCTCACAGCAGTGGAAGTACATTCAAAAGTCAAAAGGACCAAATTTTTTTTATTTTGAATATAGATCAAAAGATTCCGATTTAAGCCTGCAGAATTTTTTCGGTATTTCCAATCGAAGCAAGCGCAAACGGGGTTCGATAATTATGCAGGCCACACAAAGAAATGTACACGTAACAACTTACTCAGCAATGAAAATGCTTCGAAGATGAAGGAAAGCAATACATAAATATCTCCTAACAAATAGGCGCAACCCCTATTGCTGTAAGACATAAATAAATATGATCTGCATTAACATGTACCTTTGTTTCTCTCAAAGACTAGGCGGTTTTAATCCAGTGTAAGACATTACAAAATCCGCTGGAAAAGTGTTTCCGATTTCGTTTACCGCACAAGATTGGCAGAGCGACCCTGACATGTTTGCCGAGATAATCCCGGCGCCAACGAACAAGCTGTGTGTAGACAATGTTTTTCTCTTCTTCCCTGGCAGGAAGACTCATCTGGGTTTCAGGCCTTTGTTCTTCTCCTTTTGCCACAATTGCCCGATTTCCGTACAACAAATACTATCATGTGTTTCAGCATTGGTTGACACACACTCGCACCTTTGATAACTGTATATAAACACCCTCGGAAGCTCAGGTTAAAAAATTTCTATTACATCCTTTTAGATTGTTTCCTTACCGTATTGGATGTTCATGTCAAATACAAATAAATCATACAGTGAATTAAATACCAGTCTGAGTTTCCTAGACGATCAGCACTGCCGTCAACCGGTTCCATGCTGTCTTCTTGCGGATGGTTTCGGTGAACCCTACGCGGCTCATACTTTAAGGACGTGGCCTAGACTCTCCTAAAGATCCTGAGTTATCCCCACCGTTGTCATATACTTTAAGGTATTCAAGTCACTTTCTTCTGAAAAAACATCGTCCGAACTACTGTTTCTTGCACGAGCTGCTGCCATACCAATCAGTTCTACTGCGGAATACGTGTTGCGCAATATTTCAGTTCCACAGCTTACGTTACGACCTCTCGTTACTGTATTTACCTGAAGTGGAATTTCAGTTAAAAATGCCTACTTTCTTCCTGAAATAAGTCGAATTGGACAAAAAAAAATCACAAATTCGTTTTCTATGCCGCTTTTTACATAGTAAAGGTAAAACATGTATTTTTGGGTATCCATGCCCTTTAAGAAAATGAAAATTTGCTAGTGAAACAATGGCCGGCGGTTTTCTTTCGTCACCGCAGCTGAAAAACAGCTCAAACAACGAAAAAACTATAAAAAGCACTGCTTTTTGGTTGTTGGTTTGGAAAAAGTGGTGTTTAGAGAAGGGAATTGTCAAGGAAATCGAAAATTACGAGCCGACCCGGCTTAACACTTTGCTCGAGCTATCCAACGCCGAAATTAAAAACAAACATGGTGAAACCTCGGAAACGACGATTCCATTTCATCGACAGTGATTCGGACACGGACTGAACAATTCCTTGAACTGTTTAGCCGGACTCTGAACTTTTTTGCGCCTTAAAGATGTTAAGATATCATCGCATATTATTGTCTTGATCGTACGCGGTTGTTTTGACTGAACGCACGATTTGAATAAATTATTTTTGCACTTGATGCGCGCGCTTTGCTTATGCTTAATTATGATAAGCCATCTCGTATTTTTTTCATCCATATTATTAACACGTAATCACATGATTTTCTCGTGCAATTTGGAATAAACTAGCACTTGTTAATTTTTTTCAAAAATTTAACGTTAAATCGTGAGCCCAAAAATAAACCTTACTTAATTTGTTACGCTGGATTAGCGTAACGTTTCCAATTTGTTGCGCTGGATTTGCGTAAAATTTCCTGTTTGTGGGTGTTTTTTTTTTTTGCTGTTCACACCCCAATTTGAACGTGATTTGTACTGTAAACTTGCAGTATAATTGTAATTCAATTTTGTTCATCTTGTTAAATCCCTGATGAAGTCTGTGTGATCAGACAAAACCGGTCGAATAATAAACTAAGTTGACATGATCTGTTGCTGTTTGCTGCTCACTAGTTTTTATTTTAAAAAATTTTTGAAAAAAATACATTTATTAGTTTAAAATGTGGCAAATTTTAATTATGCATGATTGCGCGACATCATCTGCTAAGTTAAAACACTGCGCCACATTTAAACCAATAAATGTATTTTCTCCCACTTACGCGAAGTGGCCTATATTGCTAATCTACCCTGTGTATCAGCGGGCAAACTTAATGTAATCTGCCTTTCTATTCTCAGGTACACTTTTCATTTCGTATCGGTTGGAGACGATCAAGCAGTCATAGTCTTAAGTGTGACCAAAACATGATTAGCAGTCACCAACTTATTAATTACGGAGGCTTATGGGAAGCAAGATGTGACAATTCGTCTAATTCACTGTGTGGGTCTTCGCTTGCCATTTCAAACATCAACTTCTACTGCACTGATTATAGTGTGTCTGAAGATTGGACAGTGGGCGAAAATAACTTCACTTACACTTTCAATGACAGCGAAAAGCAGTGGCACGTGAGGTATGTTTTCTTACATCTTCAGAACTGAGCAAAAAGAAACTTCTGTTAAGCTTCTTGCTGTCGTATTTTCTCATCACACTGTGCTCATTCGCCGTCTGAGATGCATGTGAGAGAAGCATGTGCTCTGAGGACTCGATCTGAAGACAACCTTAGAGGCCAGATCATGTTCTCGATATAGGACTTAAATTTGTCAATTTAGTTTGTCAGATGACAAGTTTTTGGAACAGCGAGGTCCACAACTGAAAAAATCCTTGCAATTTTTAGCCAACGTTCTCATAGTGGGTTTAAGTGACAATACAACGGGGACCAAAAAAAAAAAAAGGACAGTGATTATTACAGTGATAATGAAAAATGATCATTAAATGACATCAGAAAAGTGAATATTTCATCAAGCAATTAAGCTGTCAGATTGTTTTTAGGTCACGGGAAGAATGTTAGCGCTGTACCAAACTTTTCGACCCCTTTAGAATGTCATAACATCTTACAAACTGTTACTGGACAAAATACGAGAAGTGTGTATTTCACAGGGTTCGTACAAAGTCTTGAATTCTTGAAACATATCAAACTCTTTCCCCAGTGCGACGAACATTTGTTTTTCTCGGTTCCAGGTGTACGCAACCACTAACCCCACGTAATGCGCATGCTCTCCGTTACGAATTTTCAAAATGGCGGACAGGTCAAAGAGGGAAATTAAAAAAACAAAGCGATTTTGCAATGAATTCTCAACATACACCCTCGTTAGAAAGGCGAATCCACGGAAGAAAGATACAAAACTGTATGATATTGAGATCGATATGATATTAAATCGATACCGAGGGCCCGTTTAATTGCCTTCCGCCACGATTATTAGCTTTCTTGACAGCTTTCTGAAGACAGAATACTTTCTTTCTGAAGACTTCTGATATGCGGCTATTGATTATTACACCTCGTATACCTGATTGCTCAAACACTTTGTTTACGATTGTTGAAAGGACCGACTCATGGTTCTCCGTCTTCGTCTTGACATTGCTTTGAAATAGTATAGACTAATAAGCTGAAACGAAAAATTAATCAGGGAAGTTTACGAAAAATCCGGCAAACAAGCTTTAAAAAGGCATTTATTTAGACTTCAACGAACTTCACAAATCTTACTTGTTTATCTTGTAAGTAAACGATGGCAGATTAATTCCCGAAGCGCTTTCTGAGTTTCCCGATCCCTCTCCTACTGCTTTCACGCTTACAAAACAGGAAAAATCAAAAGGAAGAAGATACAGCTGTCTTGAAACGCCATTTGACGAAGGTAAATCTGCTTTTTTTTCGACACTTTACATATCAAAACAAAGGAAACTTGTTCCCCTTTCTGATTCTGGCGGTACATTTTTAATTTGCACCTGCGTAAAAGAGATATCGCCCGAGACCCTTCGCTCGGTCGTGTTTTGATCAAAAACGCCTTGTTAATTTCACGCAACCGCTCGGAGAAAAGGTAAAAATGACGAGGGAAAAACTTTACCTTCAAGTTAGAAAATTAGCGAAATAGAAAGCCACAATATTATAGTTTAATATTTCAGAGGTACATTGGGTGCTTTTTCCGTAGAGAATCCGCACGATGGTAGAACATTCGAAAATTACACTCGATTTGAGCGGGGTGTTGAAGTGGGCGTGGTCACTACATTCATGTTAAGACTATTTGTTCCCCATGAGTTTGATATGAGTCTGGAAATTTGCGAACTACTTTTCCAGACCTGGAAAAAGTATGGAAATTAAAGGCAAAGTCTTGAAAAATGGGATTAAGTCTGGAATTTCTCTCAAGGAGCAGCAGGTGTTTAAAAGCTAGCTGAAATCTTTGCAATGTAGCTGATTTCACTTGAATTAGCTTGGCAAACGGCAAAACACTTCATAACAAGAGGCGGTACGGTCGGAGAATGAGAGTCCGAGAGCCCAGTCTCCAATGCCCTGCATTGTATTATGGTTCATTGTGTTTGCAATGCATCATGGTTTATTTGTTTCCTGCGTTAGTTGAGCGAAGGAGGCAATGTTTGTTCGCGTTCATGCACTAGCAGTTGTTCTTCTCTGGCTGTTCTTTCGCTTCGTGATGATGGGGAAGTGTGTCTTTCACGGAAAGTGGAAAGCAGATGAAAAATTTAAGGCCTGGATTGCATTGAAATTTTCAGAGGTTGCAGTGAAATGAAAAGTTTCATTAGTAACCGGGAAAATCTCGTTGGATTACTCAAATACGCACTCCTTTCCCTTGTTTGGTTGTTTGTTTTTTTCCTATTTTTATTTCTGTTTTTTGTTTTTCTGTTTCGCGTTCTGATGTAGTGCTCTCTATTATTTGCTCGGCATGATTTCGAACTTATCAATGTTGAACACCAGTTTCAAGATGATTGCAGATGATTGCAGCAAAAATCACGACAACTCCAGGGTTTACATATGAGGTTCGGTTAACATAAAAAAAAGTCATAAAAACAGGAGGAAGTTCACTACAACTTTTTCTATTTTCCCTTTTACTTCAAGTTTTTCAGGTTGCTGTTGGATTTCTCTGAGTCATTACGCCGGTTCCACAGATTGGAAAGTAGAAACTGCAATAAACCTCGCTCCACGATCGGATAACGGAAAAATTAACTCATCTCCTGTAACTCGAAGTCCAGCCATTGTTCGATTTCCAGGAGGTTGTCGTCAGTCATTTCGAATTCCAGTTGAAGACCCAGATGGCGATACAGTGAAATGTCGCTCTGCGACTCATTCGGAGTCCGTCATAGTCGATGCAAGTTTTCCTTACGGTGAATTGGATGAGGTAATTAAAAGCAGGAGTGACCGCTAATCAAAACACTCTCAGAATGTAGTACATCGCGTAAAAATTTTGGTTTGACGTCTAGACGTTCCGAAAAAAAATGTATGGTGCCAATTTTCCAAAAAAGAAGCGTTGAGTTTCCTAAGGAAATCACCACTGCAGAAAAACATGAAACATTAATCTACTTTTTTATCATGTTTGATGTCATGTACTTTTGCTAGTAATAGATAAACATAGCGATGAATTTTTATATTCTATAATTGCTTGTCGACACAGTCTTTGAACAAAGTATGTCAGGAGCTGAAGTGTGTGCAATGCTCCGGGAATACGTCTCCTTAAGGAAAGGAATATATGCATCATTCAGCGAACTCAAAAGGATAGTATCAGGTGTTACCCATTTCCCTTGCAGAAAGCTTGCGTTCTAACATACAATGGGTCGCAAGCAGCAGTTGGCGGAATGTTTGTAGTAGCATTAACCTTAGAAGACTTTCCAGCGGGGACTACAAACTTCGGTAGCGTTACACCGTTCAGCAGTATCCCATTACAGTTTCTGGCCATGGTGATTAGTAACCATACTGGCCATTGTGACGAAAAGCCTGTCTTTACAGCATCCACCCCAAAAGATGGCGAATGTTCCGATGTCCCCATTGCCTCTGCATATGGAGCAGTGATCGAAGTACAGGTTGCAGACTTCTCAAAATCGTATGTAAACTAAACAACTTGCCCTTGATTATTTTCTTCTTTCCATATTTTTCCACTAAAGAGACGCAAATTCCCATCTTTTAAGATCCTCATAAACATATAGATAACAATCTCCCGTAAATAATGACCACCGTTGAAGTGTGTTTTTATAAGCTACTATATAAATTCTTGGTATACTATTCCATTCAGGTCGTTAAAATGATGAAGAATTTCTATGAGAACGGAAAACAAGAATCAATAAACGCTTCCACGGTTTTCCGCAAACCGTCATCTACTCGAGTGAAATTGGTAACGCAACAAGTTATAATTTCTAGTATGGAACCTGAAAATTTCTTGGCATTTAACGTCATTATCATCTATGATAACTATAACGTTATTCTATTCAATCATCTCAGCATTGTGGAAATAAGCACTGCATCTCCAAGTGGAATGCAACTTACATCTTTGCGCAATCATGGACAAATCTACTACCGAAATGTCACATGGTACCCCAGTCAACATCAAATTGGACAGCAATTGTTCTGTTTTAAGGCCCGCGACTCTGCTGGGTAAGAATTGCAGGTGGTATGGTCATGAACTCCAAATATTATAGTTTAGGCGGTTTACAGAATTGGTAGGTCATTCGCGTTTTTCACTTTGCCGCGTAAGAAGTTAAGGTGTTCTGTACATTATTACCAGAGAAATGGCTCGACTATGGTTAATAGTTAGATTCAGTATTTTAAGGGGGGATACCAGAGGAATTTTCGTTTTATAAAATATCTTAACTTTATGTTCTGGGGATCTTATCATTAAAGTTTGTGGGGACAGTTTCCCAATTATTTTGATTAATGACTTGCATCTTACTTTTAAGCCTGATTGCAACTGATATGACCATAGGTCATTAGCAGCAGATATTTACTTGTCCCCATCGCTTTATACGCTCAATGAGTGAAATCGGAGACTCACTGAAACATAGGTTTTCATGGATATGCGTGTGCGTGTATGTGTGTGTGTGTGTGTAACGAAGCGTAGGTAGCGGTTAGTGTATGGCTTTACTATCGAAACGTAGAATTTCTTCGTTTTCTAAAAATTCTCCTAAAACAACTCAATCGTTTACATTTTTCTACTTATTTATCTATGTTATTTATTTATTTGCTATCCTTATGTGATGTATTTTCTTTTTCAGACTGGAAAGTGACTGGCGATGTGTGACAATTCTCGTTGGCATGAGTAAGGAGATTAAACACTTTTCCTTTTCAAGAACCGAAATGATAGTCTGACTAGATTAATAATTCATGTTGCGTCGCAGTAATAGTTAGTACATCAGTTAGAAATCTGCTACTGAGACAGGTGAATTCGGTCACCTGTTGACTTTCATCAAAAAGAAAAAGTAAAAGTCGGAGCTAGCTTGTAACCCAGTAAATCTGGGATTGGTGTAATATTTGAAGGCTTGAAAAGGTTTCCTTTTCGTGGGGTCTACCGATGTGATTGCCATGTAGATTGTTGGTGCACCAATGACGTCCTACTATCTCACTGAGAATGGAAAGAAAACAAATGACATTTTGAGCCGCTTTCCCACAGGAGTAGGCTTATAGGCAGAGTAGCAGTATCATACAAAAGTGATAAGGAACTACCGCATGAAGGATTATGTCATTGGTATTTCTAAGCACAAATAGAGGTTCATCAATTAATGGTCAACAACCATTTCCAGGCAGTACTCCGCGAGTCACTTTAGCAAGTCGCATACCCATAACACCCGTGAGCAGATATGGATCAGGTTATTCCAACTGGAGCGTTCAGTTTGACCGATTGGTAGGGACAACAAATTTGTAAACTTCGTGCTATTTGCTATTATTTAAGAGTATCGAGACACAGTTATCAAAAGAATTTGAGGTCGAGCTCTTTTTCCAATGAAACCTTTTTGGGTGCTTATTTATTTGTCACTTTCATCTGATTGAGTTTGGTCACATTTGGCCATATTTTCGCGCATCTTTGGAGAACATTTCACATTATGTTTTATGCTCTTAGCAAATTCATAACCCACAATATTAGCCTTGCTTTTTTATATAATTTTTTTTACGTATGATTCATTAGCGAGGAGAAAAACTGTCCAGGTTGTCATTGGCTTTATCATGACTTTTTGAGATATTTTAAACAAAGGGATCTTGTCGTGTCCTCTCCCGCGTTTTTCGTAGAGTCGAAGTTTTTTTCTATTTGGGGCCCCCCGCATGGCAAGGTGGTTGGCTTCCTGCGGAAATTAAAAGCGGTGGTTAACAGCTATTTTCCTCGAAATCGCAGTTGTTTTCTGTGCGATAGCATAGATAATTGAATGATAATGTCAGGTGTAGCTTGTGAATCAAGATGGGTGTCGATTACACTCAAATATAGAGGAAAAGCGACGAAAGTTTTCGTCTGATTTATCTTAACTGTTGGGTACCACCGACAAGGGATAGTTTCTCTTTGCTGGTACTCATCAGATCTCATGTTCTCACATTAAATTTCGACATTACTTATTACATGAAATCATTGAACATACACAGCAAAGTATGAAATCTGTTCATATGTACGGCTCCTCAGATAAAGGAAGCTGTGATGGTTCATATGTAAGATCGCACACCTCCAAGGGCTCTGCCCCCGATTATTACCGTATTTGTGGTTTCATTTGTGAGTGAATTTAGTGGTTGGTTCTCTTCCTTCTTCTGTTGTTTTTTTGCAAGATTATCCAGTTTTTTTCGTGGCAAAGTATCCAAAATTTCCTTGCAGAGTCCTAGAAACGGCGATGCGACACCCCACGGAAATTCCAACACTATTCAATTCGATTTTTTCAAAATCCATAATGTCCAAATAAACGACACAGCAAAAAAATACATTGATGCACTCCCCATTGTGTTTGATAATAAATCTGTTTTATGATGAGAATGCTTTTCATCTCCTGCAGATAAAGAAACCTCGAACATCGTCTTACATAAGACTCGTCTTGCTGCCCAGTGGACAAACTGTCTACAAAGTGGACGCACTCTCTCAAAACGTGACAATTGGTAGTAATTCAACCACACTGCATTTTGCGATTCCGCATCCTGTGCTGAGCATGGATGGATTATATGCAATCCTGATAGATAAAGGAGTTGTTGTTGGACAGGGCTGTGCCTCTGGCGGTACACCCACACCCGGAATATCATCCTCGAATGCCTGGAGATTCTACGTAGATGGCGTTTGTTCTTCTGGATATTCTCTTCGCTCACCTGACTTCCAAAGCTGTGTTGGTACGCAAAATTTTAGATTTTCAGAATTCCTGAAAACAGAACCTTAAATGAAATGCGCACTCAACAATCTATTTAGAAAATCTTCATCAAAGAGGTTTTGAGGATTTGATTTAATTTTATCATATGGCTGTGTTGGCGCCTCGGCCTTCATGTCCTTCCCACGACACTTAACGTGGAGTGTGGAACTAGCTTCTGGAAGATTCTGAGCACACATTTCCCCAAAATAATTCCCATCTATTCGTCTTTCTTTCTTTTCATCCGTCCTCAAACTGTCGGTCCGTCCCTCCACTCATACACCTTGATCCTCTAGTCATTCATGCATTCACCCATCTTTTTCCCGTCGTGTGATTGGTCTATAACACCTATGCACCCGTCCTCTTCGTTTGCACGAATCTTTCAGAATGCGGCATTAAGTAATGGTTTCCTCTTTTTCGCCTTTAAGATGTAAATGAATGTGCCTACTCTGGTTCCAGAGGTGAGTGTCTGCATCTTCAGGTTACTATAACAGCAATAACGACAGACACACTGTCGTAAAAGGCTGGAAAAATTGTTTAACGTTATTGTCGCAATTTGCTTATGATTACCGATCTGCTAGAATTTTCTTGTCTGTACATTGGAACGCTTCAGGTCCGTCAAATATTTTTCCGGAGTTCACGTTAACCGCAGGTTGTGATCAGGACTGTGACAACACTCCCGGAAATTACAGCTGTTCCTGTGAAAGGGGATTTCAACTGCAGTCGAACGGGAAGTCTTGTACAGGTGAGAAACATGAGAAGTATTGATTAATAATCATAATCGGCTAGAGTCTGTTACTCGTATTCATATCGCTCTCTCCACAAACAAAAACGACGATCCAATAAAAACATCCGTACCAGTCTTTTAGAGTAACACTTATTTTGATCACTCTCGTAGAAGAAGATTAGTGGAACTGTTTTGGAAACAGAAAATAATGTACACACCTAATTTTACCTAATGATTAAAATGGCAAACAACTCGGACGCTTAGTTACCATGCAGTGTTATCAAACTGAAAGATGGAGTGGGCTTTTTTTTTTTTTAGATATCAACGAATGTATCATCAATAATGGCGGCTGTAGTCATCAGTGCTTCAACATACCTGGAACATTTTACTGCGGATGTCCTAAAGGATTAACGATGGGGAGAAACAATTTGACCTGTGTTGGTGAGTAATAGCTAGTGTGACCCGAAATGTGCAAAATGTATATATATATATATATATATATATATATATAAGAAAAAAAGGAAACGTAGACCGGACTACCGATTCGGCGGTCAGATGTTCCACCAGTTAAAGTAGGGTGAGCTCGTTTCCTAGGATTACAAATTTCGAAAGTGTCTTGTTTGGAAGTAACTTGGATGGCAAATTTTGATTACGGTTATGAAAAAAAAACATGTCAGACATTCGTGACGAGTTTTTAGCTGTTCAGGTATTTATTTCTCCTGTCCGCTACAGCAAACCTCTAAAACAAAATTTTGAAATTATCCTCAAGTTTGTAAACCTTCTCTCACATTTTAGACCGAGCTGCAAGGGTTACGTGTGGGGAGAACAGTATGATGGTCTCTCTTGGAAAGGAAAGATTCCACTACTTTACAGTCAATCAACTACGCTTGCGCTATGCCTCATGCAAAGCCACCGAGAATTCCACCCACTTCTTGATCAGCACCTCTTTAGATAGTTGTGGGACTCAGCGAAACGAAACCGAAGACTACTTAATCTTTTGGAATGAGGTCCTGGCCGACGCCCTGATAATCGATGGTGTGGTTACTCGTTCACATGATATAAAAATGCCATTTTACTGCCGATACTCCAGAAAGAAGTTAATGAGTCTGGCCTTCACACCTCAGAGGATTTACTTCGGGAATGAAAGTATCTTAACTTCATACATAACTTTATTTAAGCGAGGATGTGATTAGCACCACAGAACTGACGTTATTAACTTTAGAAGGGACCCCAAGTCGGTTTTACTAGCATGAAGCAATCGGGAGTAACTCAGGAATGAAAGTAACTTAACTATAATGAAATAGATAACTTTATTTAAAATTCGATACGATTAACACCGAAGAAATGACGTTATTAACGTTGGAAGAGACCTTAAATCGGTTTCATTAGCATGAAGCGATCGGGAGTAAAGCTTCTTCTCTGTACGAGATGCAAAATAAGCGCAGACTAACCCGGCCTCAGAAAGCTATCAAGGTCCCCTGTCCCCTAGTATTGATGTTGTCATCTATGCTAAGAGTAGAGTAGGACACCGTAAGAGTTATGTCTTGCAAAAAAAAAAACATCACAATGACCTAACCAGGGCTTGAGTTTAGTTCTTTCGGTCTTGAGTCTGCAGTGATATCCATGAGGCTACTACATATGTTCCCTATGCAACTCAAGGTCACTCATGTTGATGGAGGGATAGTTGTTAAATATCTCAAACCTTCAACGTATTTTCGAAGTGAAACGGAGGAGTTGGACTCGGAACAAACCAGAGCATTCCAACCGAACCTTGGACCTCCAGATAAAAAGCTTTAAACCATTTAAACCCCCATGCAATGCCAGCTTCACTTGGGAATCGTGACCTCTGAAGAAACTTTTGTTGTGGGATTAACTACAACTTTCTGCATAGGGAAGTGACTAAGGTTGTTACCTGAAAAAGAGATTTTCTTCGACATTTGCCATGAAATGCCCTGCATGAACCAAATACTACCATGTTTGAATTAAATCCTAGGAAAGTTTCCTTACGGATACCTTTTCAGCTGTTTATAACGATAAAAATAAGGAAGTAGCTGAGGTAATCTTTTTTCTAATCTTCACTATTTAGCGGGATATGGTTCGTTCACCTTCAACTTGGACTTCTACGGGAATTCGTCATTTGCCACGCCCTTAACGGAGCAAGACTACCCTCTATCACTGGCTCTGAATGAATTTGTTTATTTACAGTACAGTGTGGCGTCCACAGCTGACCTAGTCATCATGGCTGAGAACTGTAAGGCGACTAAAGACGCAAGCTTCTATTCGTGGCCGCAATACACCTTCCTACAAAATGGGTAAGCATATAATATACCGTGATCAAGCAGAACCAGCTGCGAGTTAAGCTTTCAAAGCTTGATACGATTTTCGCATCATAATATATATGGATGTGATTAAGGGAACCTATATAATAATATAATAATATTTTTATTTTTAATCGCTTTATGGTCCTTAGCCGTTATATGGTCTTGTTGCTGAACCGATCTTAGGTCTTCAAGTGTTCATACTGAGGCTCTACTATCTACAATGTTGAAAACGTAAATTAGCCACCGTAAAGGGTTAAAAAAGCTGACGTTTCGAGCGTTAGCCCTTCGACTAATCGCTCTGAAGAAGGGCTAACGCTCGAAACGTCAGCTTTTTTACCCTTTACGGTGGCTAATTTACGTTTTCAACCCAGTTGTTAACACTAAATTACCTGCTATACTCTCCCACCGACGCAGCACCACAGTTTCTTTAGAAACTTACCCCTTTATTCATTTATCTACAATGTTATTAATTTCATTTTCGTATTGTTGTCGTTTCAACGAAAAGATGCCCCACAGATTCAACGCTTGAATACAATTATAGTCCAACACGACACTACCAACAGTTTAAAATCAGAACGCACAGATTTTGGAACGACTACGATATAGTGTACTTCCATTGTGAGCTACTGGCCTGTCATCATAATTCTCCGGATTCCAGGTTGGTCTCAAATTATTCACTTACATTGCAAACAAGCGAAGTCAGAATGAATTACCCTAGCTGGATGTTGGAGAGTTTTCGATCCTTCTAGGTGTGACTAAAAATGTCTCAGCCGATTTTCCTTCTTCTTTTTTGGCTGTTATCAAATCCGTGAAATGTTTCCCGAAACAATATCGCATCTGGCCTGCGTAATGTGATTGATGAATTCGGTGAATGATAAAGTTTTATTCTCGTTATCGATATAAATACATAATTTTGCGTGCAAACCAAGCGAACTATTCTGCCGGAGCTTATCCAACCCCATCCCCCTATCTGGAATATTGCTATCCTTCCAGCGCGGAGCACTGGTCCATCGTAAAAGGTTGCGTCAGTGCTCTTTGTTAAATCTCCCTCACATTTCTTAACTATTAACTTACACTCCTACTCGAGACAGGCAATTTAAGAGGAAGTTGGCTTGCTCATGTTAATAAACAACACGATAGCCTTGAAAGGGCAAGCACCTGGACCTTTCGTTCACGATCAAGGTTCATTTACCATTTCAGGCCATCTTGATTAGTTGTACTTTCTCAGGCTTGAAACACTTAGAGAGAGGGAATAAAAACAAAGTTCAGGCAAGGTTAAGGTGGCTCACTGGTCCACTGGATAACTGATAGAAACTTTCAAAATGTGGCTATTCAGAAATGCATTGCTGATTGATTTGCATTTTATTCCACGTGCTAATCATTCGTAATTCAAAATCTAATGAACACTTTTGCAGGTGCAGTAAGGGCTGTATAAAGAACAAGAGAAAGAGAAGAGAAGTGACAAGAGATGTTGGAGACCAAGAGGAAAGTACAAACAAAATCATTCTTACAGGTGGACCTGTAGTGTTCGAGGCGGCAAAAGAAGACAAACCACTCGATCACCGTAGGTTTTCGAAAAAAAAACTCGTTAATACAGTGTTTTTATCTGTTTGTTACGTTACGATCCTTTTATTGAATCAGGTATGAAAAGCTCAAGGCTGCATTAGTGTGACCGCGTCTTTCACATGATCCTACTACTATTTTCAAGGGAAGAATGACACCTTCTGAAGTGTATGTATTGATCTATAGCAAAGATGAGGATTTAACTCCAATGTCTAACACCCATGCATTAAAACTACAAACAAGCATACTTTGAGACCCCGCCGCCCTCCCTCCTTAATGAGAAAAACTCTGTTGTCTTTACCCTCCTAACTGGTTCTTTGCAAAAGGATGCACCTGTTTCATCAAACATTTCTCGAATCTGATTGACTGTTAGGAAAATGAATCGCAAAGCAAGATCCAGAACTTAATTCCCTAAGAGGCCTTGACCCTCGTCGCTGACTGAAACGATCACGGCTCAGAGGTTGGGACTTGAATGATTTTGTTCACCAGGGAAATGAAATGTTTTCTTATCTGTTGTTTTATAGAGCCAAGTCAAAGTAAACAAACAGCTCTGATCGGTGGTGTGGCAGGCGCTGGAGGATTTGGTCTGGTCGCAATTGTAGCTCTGGTTGTTTTGTTAGTCAAGTTCCGTAGGATGCAGCGGTTACAAAACAGCAAGAATGACGAGAGAGCTGGATACACCATCCTGCTTACACAAGTGAAAGGAAAACAAAGCAGTGTTTAAAACGATTACAGTGTTAAATGACTAATGGTAGCTTCAATTGTTTGCTAAATTGCCTCTGTGTAGCTTGGATGTTTTGAATTTATAGCCTATTTGTCACTTTTCAGAGGGAACATATTTGTTTGCGTATTTCCATATTGTAGAGTGCGTGAAAACGAACATTGGTTTCACCTAGGGCTCATCGTTATTTCGAAGGTGTCCTACAGACGCTTAGCAAGTATAGCAGTATGTATTAGTCAAACCTTTTAATTTTGAGCATATACAGAGATCATATATAATCGGCTATCAGTAATAGTACTCATAATAACTTTTCCAAAGTTTTTTTGTATGTCTAACATGGTTTTGTTAACATTGTTAAAGTAGAGAAATGATATACCGCTCTGCTGCAATTTTGCAAAAACTCTCGCCTGGTCTTCATGATTATATGCACCCAATTACTTGAGCGCTATGTTTTCAAGAGTGTTCTTAAAAAGATAACATTTTCATTTTAACTGTTCTCAGTTAAATAACTGCTAATACTTTATAAAAATGTACAAAATCCCAGTTCATAATAATGTTTCTTTGCTATCGGAGTTGCCAACAACAACCACCAAGCGTGGCCCACGCATAGATCGAGAACCTGGAACACGCTGAATTGCTTCTGACCCACGTCTATTCTGCATGTGTGTCGCCCTTTATCCCTCGGCGTGTTTTTTTTTTTTCCTGCTTTCTCTTTTTTTGAAAGCTCTTCTTGTTCTTTGGTAAATAATTTTCAATCTGGGAATCTACATGCTAAAATATAGGCCTTTTCATTCAGAGAGACATTACTATATCAAAACACTATTTCCTGATATATGAACAGGTAAAAATGTTAATATTAAATTATTTACCACCTCTGTGGTTGTAAAGAAAGGCGGGATGTTACACTGAAATCAGCTTACTGTCTATACCCTTTGATCGCCAGTAAAAAGGTGCAAAATAAGTTTCTTTAAACTAGTATTTCAACCTTTTTTATCTTAGACCAAACCACAAGTGTTTCGTGCGGGGAGAACAAAATAACGGTGTATTTGGAAAAGCGAAGATTCTACAAATTTAAAGCCAATCAACTACACTTACGCTATGCTTCGTGTAAAGGAATCGAGAATGCCACCCACTTCTTGATCACCACATCTTTAGATAGCTGCGGGACGTTGCGGAACGAAGCCGAAGATTTTCTGATCTAACAAGCCAGCTCCCAGTTGGCTTGTTAGCTCAGTTAGTAGAGGGCTGCACCGGTATCGCAGAGGTCAGGGGTTCAAATCTCGTACGGACATGAATTTGTTTTTCAGGCTTTATTTTCACTATTAGTTCAGTAGCATTCATAAGGGCTGGGATCGCTTATATTCGTTTATAAGTGCTTGTTAACACCAAACTCGAAATCATGTTGTTACTTGTTAATAATTTACACGAAAAGCACATTACAGAAAGTCAAAACGGACGAAATTTTAGCAAGCAAGCAAGCGCTATTTGTAATTTGCACTCGTGTTACAACTTTGCACTCGTGTTATAACTTTGCACTCATGTTACATGAAAAATGCACTCATTTTCAGCCAATCAGGCGAGTGTAATAGGAGTACGCGTCATACTTGTAATTGCACAGTGTAATAAGACAGTTGACACATCATGCTTGCGGATAAGTGGACGGTACGCGTTATGTGCGCGCCCTGTTCTCGCGCATTTCGCGGAGTTTTTTTTGTGAAAACGTATGAGTGATGCCTATTTTCTTTCTCTGATTTTGTCATAGTTTTGATTAATTAGTAAAAGAACTTCGTGTCGTTCGATTATGTCTGAAATCATACTCATGATTAAGAAATCAGGCTCCCGCTTCGAGGTCGCCCGATTTTGACAATCACTCGTATGATTACAGACCGAATTGGGCTCCACTCAGTCCTATTACCATTATAAATTAGCATAAAGCACAAAACGGAACAGGACGAAAAGTTAGTAAATTACAGTTAATATTCCTCGGAATTTCATCAGGCTTCCTTGCGAGTTTACTCATTTGTATTCTGAGTGGAGGAGAACCACTAAAGGAGTTAGGTGTCTTGCCTCACAATATTGCAGTGACAGAACCAGGGTTGATAATAAGACCTTTCTATCCGGTTTCTAGTTATTGGACTACCATATCTCCCACCAATGCCAACTATCTGGGGGCATTAAAGTAGATGTAGATAAAGTTCTTTTCGATGGAGTATCGCCAGGCCAAAACCAACCACAACGGCTAATCAAAGGAAAGAAAAATTACACAAGAAGCCGAAAAGAACTCAAAAATAAAAACATGCAAACTCCCTGAAGCGTGGGAAAATGCAAGTGACTAAATCGCGCTTGGTGATACTTTTGCTGCACCTGATTGTTTTAGAGGTGGCGTTACTATTTGAGACGAGCAACAGAGAGAAGCAAAGAAAAACCATCAAAACAAGGATGAATTTCGACACTCAATTGAAAATTTCTTCTTGGGGTGAAGTACTCAAAATCTGAATGCTGGGTTTTTGTAAGGTGCAATAGAGGATAGGAACCACGGCTACATTCCACTTGAATTTAAGACCTCTGCAATTCTGGCCTGTTTGCATTTAGTGCGGTTGGATGAACAATTAACCTCACGGATGCTCTATTTGACCGCATGTAATGATAAAAAAATTAAACGAAATGTAATTTCATTCTCTTTTTCCTACTTTCCCCTCATTTTTTAGCAGCATATGGCACTTTCACCTTCAAGATGGACTTTTTTACGAGTTCTTCGTTTGCCACGCCCTACACAGCGCAGGACTGCCCCTTAACAGTGGATCTCAGTGAATATGTTTATTTACAATACAGTGTGGCGTTCTTAGCTGACCTGGTCATCATGGCTGAGAACTGTAAGGCTACTTAAGACGCAAGCTTTTATTCTTGGCCACAGTACACCTTTCTTCAAAACAGGTTAGTTTATCATTGTGTCGTGATCAAGCATAGACAGTAGCTGATCCGATACATGTAGTTAAGCTAAGACTGCATAAAACGCCTTGTCTTTCTCGTGATTTTCAGGCGAGAGGAGAGGAGCGAGGGGCAAGCGCGATGTGCTCGACAATACCAACAGTTTAAAATCAAAACTCTCCGATTTGGAACGACTATGACACTGTGTACTTCCATTGTGAATTGCTGGCCTGTCACTGGAATTCTCCTAATCCTAAGTTGGTTTGAGAGATTTCAGTTGCATTGCATACAAGGGAAGTCGGAAAAATGACCCTGTATTAAAATTCCAGAAAGTTGTCCATGTCACAGTCCTTTGTAACTTAAAACCCAACTTACTTTTTGCAGATGTAGCAAGGGCTGTGTAAAGAACAAGAGAAAGAGGAGAGAAGTGACACAAGATGGGACAGAGCAAGAAGAAAGTACAAACAAAGTCATTTTTACATGTGGATCTGTATTTTTCGAGGGGCCAAAGAAGAAGAATCCAAAGGTAGGTTTTAGAAATAAGCATTTGTTAATGTGGCATGTCTGTACTGTCTATCTTATGGTCTTCTACTAAACGATCACATGACCAAATTTGCTTTCGAAATGTTATAATTGTTTTGGTTTACTTCGTTTTCTTCATTTGTAAACAGCCTGACTTTTCCACCCTTCCGGAACCATTTTTTGTCAAAAGGGTGACGCTTGACCAAAACTCTATTCCTAAGAGCCATCGTTTCTGGGCACTGACCAAGACTTTAATGTTCTGAGGCTACGGCGTGAATAGTCTTCAAGGAATGTCACTTATTCATGTTTGTCTTTGCAAAGCCCAAGCAGGGTGTGCATGCAGTTCTGATAGGTGGTGTGGCAGGTGCTAGAGTATTTGGAATGGTCGTAGTTGTAGCTGTGGCTGTTTTGTCGGTCATGTAACGCAGGACGCAGTGGTTCCCGGACAGCAACAAAGACGAGCCAGCGGGAAAAAACAGTGCTGCTTACATGCTGAAGGATCAGGTGATCGCAAAGGAAGGCAATAGTTAAATCGAATTTCCTTTTAAAACTCTGCTATTGATATATTTCTTCTTCAAAAGAGATTTATCTCTTGTTGGTTTCTTTTACGGAGGGTACATCTTTATTTTCATGTTTTTATATTTTAGAGTGCCATGCCTTCCCATGGAATCATCTTCACAGAGTTATTTTTTCGGAAGGCATTTTGAAATGTCCCTACTAGTTTACAGTACATATTGCTTGGCACCTGGTTCGCATATGTTAAGCTCATATACACTCACTTATCTATACCATCAAACTTAACTTTTAACTGTTTCAATTACAGCTTGTGTTATTTGTTAGCTTGGTGAAATAAAAAAATGCCATAACAGTATTGTATAAAATCTTCATTACTGAAACAAGTATACTCCAGATACCATCTACTTTCCCCCGCCTTTAAAAGGCAAATGTACAACTTGCCACCTTTGGGGATTCTATGCTGTCACCTAACCGTTCGAATATTGTTTTCAAATCCTTTGAAATTCAACAACGGAGGAAAAAGTATATGAAAATGTTCATTTTTGACTCTATGGCAAATCAGAGAAGTGCGGGTGCTTTATTAAAATCACTTTGCCGTCTTTTTGGTTACCTTTCTTTTATTTCATTTTTTTCGGCGTTTTTACGAGATATTTTCAAGATATTTGCAATTGGCTTTCTTGCAACAGGTGTGAAACAAAATCAGTGGCAAGTGATGAATAACGGAAACTATCCAAGTTTTCTAAGAGAAAAGAATCATTGGATACTTATTCAATTTTTCGATGATTATTACATTGTTTGGCGCACAGGATGAGGAAATTAAATCAATCATTACATAAAAAAACTTATTTTGCAAACATTGCTTATTGTCCCATTCGATCTCATCGTTAATGGTTCCTGCATTTTCGGTAGCAGAACATCTTGCAAACGAGTAAGTAATCACAACGAGCACCGAAAAAGTTGATAACAATGGCATGCATTGTAAAATTGTAGAGGCTATAAAAGCTGAAAGACGTGAGACTCTGGTACAATACTGATTTTACCTATACGAATCCGATAGAGGAGATTCAGTCGAATGAATACAGTTGGAATACGTTAGGCATTGAGATGAACATGTTGGAAACCGAACAGTCAAATCAATGTTTTTGTGGTTTCCACTTGAAGTGTTTTTGAAGTGTTAAATAGGACTGTGCATGTTTTGCTTTGTCAAACAAAAGATTCCTCAAGATGAGTGGGCCATTGATCATAATAATAAATTCAACTTTCACGCTTTTGACACACTAATCATGAGACGTGAACTGATGATCATTGGCGCAGATAGCTGTTTACACGAAGTTATGATATGATAATCGCTGAATTGCAACCTGTTTCAAAACATAAGTTAATCTCAGAATAACAATTCCTGAAAGCCTTCCTCGTTCCGAACATTTTGCGCAACGTACATCACAGTTCTGTGCGGTTTTCAGACAAATATTGCAGGTTTATAGCGGACCACAATCATGTGGTTTATACCGAGCACCTTGGCTAATGGGCGTCGTTCAGTTCCGTCTGATATGGAGAAAATACAAAATAAAATGAGCAAATGAAGGTACTAACTGTATAAATGTTGAGCTGGGGAGTTAGAAGAGTGAAACATTCAGTTGAATACTAACTTCTAAACTGATCTTCAACTACAACTTGATAATCGACTGAGAAGTTGACAATCAACAAAGTGTTTATGATCGATAGGCTTAGCCCCCAGTCGGGAAAACTAGGCCGGCCTTATTCCCCAGTACACAGACTCGAGGCGTACCGACAAGCCTCAAAGAAAAAAGAGAATGATTTTTTCCATACTCCATTTCGTTAAAAACGAAAGAACAAAGAAACTTTCATCAGAATGTTTTCGTTGAATCCTGAGCATAAACGTAAAATTTCGCACAATGTAGTCAGTATTGAGCCTTCACTGTTTCCTTTAGGGTTGCATTTGCTGAAAGGCGATTAGGAGAAACCCCATTCAGGAATATTTTGACCAAATTTGGTTCATTAAAGGTGATCACACTGGAAGTCCATCCGTGCGATCTGAAGCTTATTGAAGACAATTCCTCAACTACGCACTTGATGGTATGAGGTCACAAACATGGAATGAGAAAGCATTCTTGTAAAGGTCCTGATTTTATGTAGCTCTAAGCAATGTTCAACAGATTTCAACATATGGTCAGTTAATACATAATCAGGAACCACGTAATATCCATCCTAGCAAAACGGTAAAAATAGCTTTCCTTCATAGGGTGATTTTAAGAAAAAGTCATGAGTCATGTTATAAGAATTAAGTGCACGACACAGTAATCATCCGTAAGATCTGAAGCTATTATTTAGAAACAAAACCTTTCCTAAATAATGCGGGCAAGCAAATTACAATTGCACTTTTATTAAAACCATCATGTCATGTATCGTTGTCTAGAAAGTCGACAGATAACTGGTCGACCACTAATGCTATTCATTTGCGTTGGGAAGATATAAAAAGAGTCATATCTCAAAGGAGCACGGGTCTTGGTCTTAGCCTTGTAAGGCGAGCACTCAGCGCACCGTGCATTTCGATTTTTCAGTTCAAGTCGAAACCTGCGAGCAATAAAATGGTGAGGTGGCTTCCCGTGGGATGGATCTTTGCTTTTTTGGCTCTTGGCACATTGACAGAAGCATCGCACTTTCGACACGGCAGTATAATGTGGTCTCCAGACGATTCTAACAGCAACACGGTATAGTGCTTAATAATTCTTTCAAAACAGTTTAAACTACCCCGGGCAAAACTGATCTAGTATCCAAATTCAAGTTGAGTCGAACCCAGGATATACAAGATGGTACATATATGCATATTTACTTGACAAATGAAAATGTTAACTTATGCAAATTCTTACAAATGGTGGGAGGTGAATAGGTTAAAGAGTCGGCAAATTTGGCTCTCAAACACCTATGAATCACAAAGTTTGAAAAATTTGATCGGATGCGCATTTTGGCCCGATATGTTTGTGTTTTGCTGAAGAACTTTTTCAGTTTTGACATATGACTTTTTGCTCTTAACGGCCCAGAAGTTAGGTTTCAAATGCAAGAGTTCTACTTTCTCGAACGCTTCTACCCACTCAAATGTACGGAAAGTTAATGTGGCTTTGGACGAATATAACATCGGTAGACCTATAGAACGAGAAAAAATAGCGCACATCTTCTGAGTTGCATAGCCATCATCCTCCCCCCTCCTCCTCCGAATGTTATTTTGGAAGGACCAACGTTCACCTATTTTGATAAAGGTTTGGCCTTTTAAACACAAGACAACCTTGAAATAGTCCTACACCAGGATAAAAGAACAACAGAGAGATCAGGATAAACCCAAAACGAATATGGTTGGTGAAGGATAGCGAAGATATTCACGGATTGCAAAAATTTACGCCGATCAAATTTCCGTGACATACTGACAAGCCATTTTGTGTTGTTGTACAATGGTGGCGGTTCGATCATGCGTCACTTACCTTGAACTTTTGTTGCCTGTAGTTCAAGAAACGTCATCTTTGAAAACCTTTCCGTAATTTCTTTGACCTTCTCGCACTGAACTGAAATAATTCCCAGCGAAAGTATCTCGATTATTATGTTTACCCTCCATTTTACACCTATCTTCCCATGCAGCCAAGTGTGTCGCTTTTCTAAAAATATTGAATTACAGATGATGCCGCGCGTTGCCTGGAGATCCATTATTAGCTTCAGCAATAGCGCCACAGTTAAAGTCATACGTCATTTCACTTCCTCTTAACATACCCCTTTCAGTATGAAGGAATATTGTCCAACTCACTGTTCGATTTAGGTTTGAAAGGGACGGTGGTACAAATGAGTCATGCAGTTTTACCGTAGTACACATCAGATGATCTGTACTTTAAGAAAAGGTGCCGCTTACAAAATTAGAGCAGAAGCAGCTCATAAGTATGGAAATTACCCGAATATTAACTGTTCCAATTCAAAACATAGTCATGTTGTCCCAAGACATAACATTTTCAAACGAAATCCTCCTTCGCAGATAAGAAAATAAAAGCTAAAATTTCCTTTGTGTAATTGCGCGATATTCCCATGTTTAAAGTATTATTGAACCATCGTACTAAAATGTTGAAATTCTTCAACTTCCCTTACTTCTTAAGCGTACCTCGCCAGGGACATATCCCTATCTTGCATCAGAGAGGCGAAGACAAACAATTTCTTCTTGAAGGTGCGATAGAACTAGGGTTATGTTCGGAATACTCGCCTATCTTGAGCTTGAGGCGCCTGTATAGAAAGTCATTTATGAACTGCGTTTCAACGCTTGCTCCAAGAACTGCTAATAGATGATTTCCAGTGATTACAATTCGATCATAAACAAGTAATCTCTCATCTTGAGTTTGAGATTTCTATATTTCGAGTCGAGTCATTTACGAATGTCAAGTCATCATAAGGAACTCGGCATGAATGTAAGTGACCTCTAAATTTAGCAATTCAATCATTGTTCATTGTGTGAGAAACGTGAAGGGCAGATGATGTCGCGCAATCATACATAATTTTAATGATGCATGATTGCGCGACATCATCTGCTGTGTTAAAACACTTCGCCACATTTAAACCAATAAATACATTTTCTCCCACCTACGCGAAGTGGCTTATATTGCTAGTCTACCCTGTGTATCAGTGGGCAAACTTAGTGTAATCTACCTGTTTGTTCTCAGGTACACTTTTCATTTCGTATCGGTTGGAGACGATCAAGCAGTGGTAATCTCAATTGTGACCAAAACATGAAAAGCAGCGGTCAACTTATTAATTACGGAGGCTCGTGGAAAGCAGGATGTGACAATTCGTATAATTCATTGTGTGGGTCTTCGCTTACCATTTCAAACACCTATTTCTACTGCACTGATTATAGT